AGTAAGAACGGCTAATAATATTTATTGCTAGATTATCAAATGTTATGTGATCTTTTTCCGTCAATTTGATCAATCTTCACGTCCTCGGTCTAAGTTATTCGTATCTAACTCCTTGTACTTCGTGTGAGTTACAAACTTTCTATTCCACATCCTTTGCAACCAAAGCAATATTTGGATTTTTTGTCTATGTTGTATGAGATAAAATTCTCGGATACGGTTCTCAGAGAAGTAGTACTCTTGGTTTACCTATCTTAATAAAGTCTATGATTGGTTTGAAGAATGTCTCAAGATTCAGGCGATTGCATACGATATAACTAGTAAATATGCTCCTCCCGTCCATGCAATTGTCACTTGTGATTTATGAACGAGGGTTTCGTATTTCAATAACTCAAGTCACCCCTTTCGTAATGAAAACAGCTAATAAAATCTAGTGCTAGATTATACAACTATTATGAGATCTTCCACAAATTCGATCCTCATAATCTTCATCTCCCAGGTCTAAGTTATTAGCATGTAACTCCTTGTACTCCGCATATCCCGTGCATATAATTATTAGCGTGAGGCTTACACACTTGATACACTAATAAGTGGTGCGTCGGACTGCAGGTACATGTTTGAACAAGCAAGTCATATATTCAAACACTCGACCGGTAAGTACCTATTGCGTATCAATTTTACGGATAACTTTTGATGTATTCAAAAGCATGATGCTTTCTTACCAATCTCACGTACCCAACCCTAATCCCTTTAGCTGTGTCCCATACCCTTAAGCGTCATGCTAAGACCCAACCTTCTTTCTCTCTACGAACCTCTATAAATACAGAAATCTTTGATCATTGCATTTCCTTAACCTTCACCACCCAACATTAATTCCAAAACATAAGAAGAGAGACCCTTTTCGATTGTTATCTTTCAGTCTCTTTACCAAACTTAAGGAGAAACCATGGACTCCAAAAGACCAGTCGTACATATCCACGCAATGATCATTAGTATCTTCTTTCTCTTCTTCAGCTCATGCTGCAGGCATCTACTAGAGGACCCACGTGTTCATCGCCATTTCCGAGCTCGTCGGAGCTTATTATCGTCAGCTCTTGCTACGACTTTCGACGTTGATGACTTTGGAGCTCGGGGTGATGGAAGCCATGACGATGTTCAGGCGTTTGAGAAGGCATGGAAAGAGGCATGCTCAGCTAAAGGAGCTGTTCTTGTGGTGCCCAAGAAGAACTACCTCCTTGGCCAAATCACCTTCTCAGGTCCTTGCCAAGACAGTATCACTTTTCAGGTAAATAATCAAGAAGATTAATGTGCAGACATGAGATCATTGGCTACAATAACAGCTCACAATAAGATGTTGCATGCATGCAGTGTATACGTGAAGATCGAAGGTTATTGATATGACTTTGTATATTCATTACGTGCTCTTACACGCAGATTAACGGGAATATTAGAGCGTCCGATGATCGGTCCCGACTATGATGAAGATCGGAGGCATTGGATCATGTTTGACGGGGTTCAAAACTTGGTCGTCCAAGGTGGCGGAACCTTTGACGGCAATGGGCTCATCTGATGGCAAAACTCATGCAAAATCAATAAAGCTCTTGTAAACACTTTGCATCAATGTTGTAAATTATTGCATAATCCACTAACTCTTGTAAAATTTGAAGCGCTCATAGTTTATATCTGACTATTGTTCGTTTTTATTTTTAATTTGCAGCCTTGCAAAGATGCACCGACCGTAAGTTACTATTTACCAATCTCTCTCTCTCTCTCTCTCTCTCTAGGGATAGGTACATTAGAGTTAAATTTTTTTAGCATTTCAAACAGTTATTTTTTACAAAGAGTTGATTTTTTTTGTCTAAACTACCGATTAGAGTTTGTCACTCCATATGAAAAAAGTTCCTTACATAGATTTCCTTTTTCCACATTTTGCATTTCTTGTATATGCAAACCGTGACAATAGTGTTATTCGTGTCCCAAATAATCGAAAGTTACCCAAATTATTTAGAGACATTTAGGTCTTGTATCACATGATAGAGAAGATGGCACAAGTAAACTCGAAAACATGCTCGATTAATTGAATTTAACCTTATTATAATCTATTCTTTGCGCCCAAAATTGCCTTAAATTTCTCTGTTTCTAAACTTGAGTGAGAAGTTAAACAAAGAGCCGAGATAATAAGTGCTCATGGCTGACGAAATGAGTTAATAAGGCTTGTTGTCCATCGTTAGCTAGATAACATATCTTGATTTTCATCGTGGAAAGGCAATTTGAATGCATGGTCATTAATTGTCGGGAAGGGCGGTTTTGATTGAATAATGATAGGAATACAATCTCTTTCAACATAACTTATTTGCTAAGCGATATGACAGTATCACATTGATCAAGTAAACAATTCGATCATTTGTTGCATGATATAAGTTTATTTCATTCAAATGCTCCGCTAGAATATGTCGCGACGTATAACGCATATTCCGAGATCCTTCACATCACTGTGCCGTCAACCCAAGTGGTTGTTGCTCGTTTTGCTAGGCTCTCACTTTCTACAACTGTGAGAACCTAATAACGCGGAATCTGAAGATTCAAAATGCGCAACAAATTCACGTTTCGTTCGAGAAGTGCAGCGACGTTCGAGCCACCAATCTCCAAGTCACCGCGCCTAGAAGCAGCCCGAACACGGACGGGATTCATGTCACTGGTACTCGGAACATCCAAATTTCTAGCTCTATAATCGGAACAGGTCTAGAACTTCAATCACATCCGTGAGAAAACTCTCTTTAGGAACCGAAAAATGAATTTGTGTCACTGTCCCATCTATTTTGTACATTCAAGGTGACGATTGCATTTCAATAGTGGATGGATCGCAAAATGTTCAGGCCATGGACATAACTTGTGGACCAGGTCATGGAATCAGGTAAAATTTGGAGTGAATTTTGTCAATATAAAGAGCTTATTTTCTTTCTTTTTTCCCCTATTTTCTTCAGCTTTCTCTCAGCTAATTTACTGACCTTTCGTTTTTTGATCTGCGCTTGGTGATCAACCCTAGCATTGGAAGTTTAGGGCCTGGAAACTCAGAGGCTCATGTTTCAGGAGTAACAGTGAATAGAGCCACCTTCTCTGGAACCAGCAATGGAGTCAGGATCAAGACATGGCAGGTCAAGAATTTTTTGCTTAATTTGTGCAGAAAAAATATATTTTACGGCTTTTGACGGTCACTTACCCTCTTTTTCTTAAAATATATTTTGGGATAATATTCTCAGGGAGGGTCTGGAAGTGCTAGCAACATTAAGTTCCAGAACATAGAAATGCATGATGTGAGCAACCCCATCATAATAGACCAAAACTACTGTGACCAGATTGGGCCATGCAAGCAACAGGTAAAAGAAATTAATCGCCCGATATTTCCAAAAATATAATCTAAGATGAGACGGAAAGTCCAGCTGATTATAAACTGCCATTATGAATTCTTATGTTATTTGATCTTCTGGGCAAAAATGATAAGAATTAATCTTTGCAGAAATCGGCTGTTGAAGTGAAGAGCGTGATGTACCAGAACATAAAAGGGACGAGTGCTTCGGATGTGGCGATCAAGTTCGACTGTAGCCAGAGCTTTCCGTGCGAGGGCATAGTTCTGCAGAATATCAACATGCAAAAGACTGGAGGTGGATCAGCAACAGCTTCTTGCAACAACATCGATCCCAAGTACATGGGCGCTGTTTCGCCTCATTGCTCTTGAACAGATCCACATAAATAATGTTTAGACAGAGGTCGTCAATAATAATACCATAGTGTGAACAGATCAATAAGTCTGCATCGACGATGTCATACCATGAACGTTGATTGTTGAACAGGTTTGCTGTGTTTGCATTTTAGGATGATCTCTTGTTTCTTACATAGGAAACTAGAGCTACAAACGTGATGGGGGTGTAGTGTACTGAAAGAAATGTCGAGGTTATTTTGGATGGAAAATTGAAGTATTGGAATATGATATACCGACTTGCATTTGACGATTTGAATGTCGCCTCAATAATAGAGTTTCTGATATATGATTCATGTCTGCAAGCTTTGTCATAAGTGGGTGATATGCTGATGACTAGTTTGAGATATGCTTGATACATTGACACCAAAAGGCCTTTTATTTTTCCTTTGACAGTTCAAGCTTATGAGTAAATAGCTGTTTACTATGATATATTAGCACACAAATCCCCTATTGCTGTCATTAGCATATCCGGGCTCGAAAAATCAGTCCAGGCTAAGCGGGCGGGGCCTCGGTTTTGGGCCCTCGATTTCCTTCTGCAATCTTAGTATGATGCAAGTTTGGTTCATATTTGAGCAAAGTCAAGGTTTGGATCTCATCTGGGGCAACGCGATTATCAATTAGTAGAGTGTTTGATAGGTTAATTTATTCGGTTAGTGAACTTTCTTGAATTAAAAAAGCAAAAAATATGTACAAAACATGGAGCCCAACACACCGGCTCTGATAAAAGGTCTAGGTCCATTGTTTTTTCTTTGCCTGGATATATATGCATCGATGATTTTCACAACAACATCATCCTTATAATTTTGAATCACTCGCTTGGTTTAAGGTTCGAAACACAATTATTAATTAGTAGAGTATTTGATGGGTTGTTTTATTCAATCAGGGCACTTTCTTACATTAAAAAGGCGGAAAAATATGTGTAAAAATATGTAGAGCCCAACACACCGACTCTAATAAAAAAGTCCAGGTCCATTGTCTTTTTCTCACCCAAAAATATATAAGCACGAACCATCCTTGCAAAAGCAGGGTCTTTTCAATTTTGAATCGTTCCCTTGAATTAAGATTCATATTTTATATGGTATATACGACTATAGATTAATAGAGTATTTCATAGATCGATTTTATAAGACTATATGAAGCCCGACCCACCGGCTCTAACAAGATAAATCTAGATCTTTTGTCTTTTCTTCGCCTGGAGATATATAAGGACCGACAATTCTTGCGAAAAGCATTGTCTTTTCAATTTTGGTTACATAACTAATATGATAAACTCATTCATGGAGACACTCCTCTTCTCTTTCCAAGGTATGCTCCAAAAGAAGGTGATCACTCTCATCTCGATCTCTTTCCTAGCTTCAGAAAGAATCCATGTATCGACTAATATCGTTCTCGCGTTCCATTAGAGGAGAATCACAATTCAGACATACGAGTGCTCCAAACCCATGTTCCATTTCGGTAGGAAAATGAAAGTATCCTCGACCGTTGTCCCTGCTTGTGAAGTTGTCTTTTTTCAAAAAGAGAAGGTCGTGTTTTTTTTTTTCCTCCTCTCTCCTTGAATCTTGGTTCTTTTTCCTTTTCAACGACTTCTTGCTTCAGAAGAAATTGAGTGTGTCGTTTGTCAGGGTTGTGATTCTCCTTTAGTGGCGTGCGGATGATAACAGCCGATAAGAGGGTTTCTCTGTGTCTAAAGACTGAGAACGAGAAGTGGGTTTTGATCGATTCGTGTTTCGCCGCCGGCGACCGGAGCTCGCGAACTTTGATCTCGAGCTCAGAAACGCCTAATTGTCGAACCCAAAGTTTGTCCCTTTTTTAACTTTCGGTTGAAAAGTTGTGAACTTTAGCTCATTTCTTCACCGGGTCTTGCGCGTAACGCTTAGCAAAGATGCTTTACGTTTGTAAGCTCCATGGATGTTTAATCTGATTTACTTGGACTCGCTCTTTCTCTTTGCATTTATATATCTGTGGTTGTAGCTAACTTGATTGTTCAAAGGAGTTCAGCAGATGGAATGGTTAAGAAATGACACCTAAACATTATATATTTGTTGCTTTGTGGAGAAAAGAAGAGTCTACGATTTAAGTAAACCACTAGTCTCCATTGGGTAGAGCTGATTTCTCTTTGTCTTCCCCCTCATCATGTGCTTGTGATGAAGCAGCTGAACATTGTGAAACTTCCCATTTATCTTTTGGTCAGCTATTTCCGACTGAGCACCGTGGTTGATAAGAAAGTGCTTGTCACGACAATCTCGAATCAGACGATATGAAGAAGACGTTTGTCATCAATTGAGGCATGTTTGCCAATGTTCCAGTTTTACTTATGTAAGTGATGGCTTTGGTCTGAAATTGGTTTTGATCGGTGCAATGAAAAACAGTGACAGATGATTTCCCTGCAGAGATCACGGTTACGGTAATAACTATATTTTTGGTTTGCCTGCAATCTTCTGCTATTTGTTCTTGAGTTAACCGACTTATCCTTGCTTCAGAGATGCATGGTCTTATTGCTGAAGCTAGTTTTTTCGTTATCTTCTCAAGACATAATGTAAAATACTAACTCCTATTTCTGTGTAAACTTCTTTACTGACTTTGCCCTTCAGCATGATGATCACGATTTGCTGGAGACAAATTTTCTAACTTACTGTGTTTGAAAATTTGAAGTTAATTGGAGTACTTCCTGATGTTATAAGGTAATTTAGCAGTACCCTTTGGTTTCTTTTGCTTTATCTTCTACGTCAAAGAGGGAATGATGTTGCATCTGTTCAACTTGGTGCACATGTCTGTGAGCCAGATCAATCTTTAGAAGCATATGGACGTGACTTTTTTGAATGAATAATCCCGTTTCATAAATGATGGTAACGTTTTCGGTTCATGATCCTGCTGCTTTATTGGTGCACGGGGACATTTTTTTACATGAACTAAATGAACCAACAAGGTTTGTGGCTGCCGGTATGTCGGGATCCCAAGGACCTGACATTCATGTAACTGACAGCCTACGCCTTTTTTATTTTGCCGAGTATATCGGGATCGCAAGTACCCGACACTGGAATAACCGACAAACTGCATTGAGTACTTTTTTGGCAAGAATCTGCTTTTCTTTAAGGGAAATTGCCGTGTGCTAGAAAGACTGAGTGTGTCTTTATTCTGTACTCTCTCTATTCACACCTTATTTTAGTCAGTATGGAGAATTCACTCCATGAAAAGGTCTTCGTTGAAGTCACAGTGAACCAGGATTAACTTCTGTCTAAACAAGCATTTGTCAAATACAGATATACTTTTATTAATGTTTCATTCATGGTATATAGCCAAAGAAACTATAGCCGTATCATTATTTACTAGCAGATTCTTGGAGAGTACTTTTCTAAATTTTCCCCATGTGTCTGTGTTTTGATCGTATTGTTCTTTTTGGTTGGTTTGTTTGTCTTGCAAGATCAATGAAAGAAAATTAGTTACATTTCTCGCTAGGTGCAAGTTTATGACGTGTCTTTGTTTTAATTCAATCCTGATTTCCACGAGTTCTGAAGAGACTAAATACCCTATTTATTTTTCTATTGGCTTCTGGTCATGGAGATTGGAGATGATCGGAAAAAATTAGAGATATACAGCCCAAATCTTTTGGCTTTATGGTTAGTGAGGTTCCATATAAGTGCCTAGTTTTTGCAAAATAACAATTATTCGGAGCAATGTGTAGACAAATAGTAATATTCTGATGAAATGTATGTTAATCTTGTCAAAAAGCTGTGTGCTTCTTTCTGTCTTAAACTTACTCAATTAATTTTACCATACTTTTGATGGGGATGGTTTTGGTGGTTGTGGAGGGAATCAAGAGATGTAGATGAGGAGATGGAACCATGCTTGCAACCCAACACTCGCAGAATAATATCATGTGCAAATGAAATTGATGCTGCTTAGTTGTTTTATTGGTCCAAGTGTAAATGAATGCCTAGTTCACAGGCTCTCAGATAAGCTTTTACAGAGTGACTGACTTGCCTTGCCCTCTGTTTCTGCTTTACGTGTTTTACTCTTAAATATTGCTGGCTTTTGCAACCAGTCAACCGGGATAGATGATTGATGACTAACTAGTCGTCCACAGTATCCGTTGGCTCTTATTTAATTGATTTCAAGTTCCTATCAATGTATTAACCTATTTAGTACGAATCCATGCTTGCCATTTTGAGCAAGGATGTCCTTCTAAAATGCATGCTGCTCATCAACAGGTGTGACTAGATAACTTGCAATCTTGTGGTGGATGTATCATTTTACTATTCTGTCTCCTTAATAAGAAACATAACTGTATTTGGTAAAGATTTGTGGAAAGATGTCTATGATAGGTAGAGATTCATTTTCGAGTTTTCAATGGAAGCATATGATCCTTGACAAGAAATTGCAATCTTGTGATAGTTCTATATTTCACTCAACTTCAAAATTCTGTAGGCTTTTCTCTGGCAGCACTATGAAAAATCTGTTTGATATGTGCATGCCTAAGATTGGAGAGTGTGTCGCTTCTCTGAGAGTGCTTGTGGTTATAAAATTCTTTGGAATCTCTCTTGCAGGAAATCTTTGAGTTATCACATCGATCGTGGATACTACTCATCTGTAATCTCCCCTTTTGTTTTCTTTACTTCTTGATTCTTTCTATGGCCTCGTGTTGGAAATGCATGTGCCGTTCTGGCTTCACTTGAATAAGTCATCTTTTTATTAGTAGTATAGATCAGTTTGAAAGGATCAACTCCAATATCTTTCGCGAAAAGTGGACGATTTTATGATGACATTTCTCATTGGGTATGTGACATGTACTCCTTTCTTCTCTTGCTGAGCATATAGGAGCCCTGCTTGTTTTCAATTGAAAAGGGTTGTCGTCCTTCGTCTGTTTACCTATGTCTACTCCATGTTGGAAGTCAGGGCTCTATTATGTGATTTGATTCTGTTCATTAATTCATACCAAATTTTATTAAATCTTGACCCTCAGCCCTGATTTATGCTGTTTCGTAAATCAAAGGAGTTGATATTGTTGCTGAAGGGATGAGATGAGACTGGAGCAAGCCTGGGTGGGTTATGGGCTCCACATGTAAGATATACCCATATCTCAAATGAACACATGTTTGTCCTCTTGGAGTTTCAGGTGCAGGAGTGCACGTGTATGTCTTCTCGGAGTTTCACGTGCAGGAGTGCATGCACAAGAGTTAGCCGATTTTGTATCCGTTGAGTCTTGTTATCCCTCATTGTGTGGTTGCATAACTCATAGAGAATTTGAGAGTCAATACTGGAGTGTCGTTGCAGGACATTCCAGGATTATGTCTCCTGTCGACTATCTGATTGAAGTGGTGCTGGTTTACCACATTCGTGAAATACAAATGGAAGAGGAGGCAAGTGGAGTAGTTTTAGGAAAGGGAGGTGATACTCAGAAGTGAAAACATACAATCATCCAATGAGACAAAGTCAGCTTGCTTGCGAGGGTGTCTCGGCCGCTGCGGTGGGAAGTTGCATGCTGCTGGGCAGGAATCTGCAAGATCCTGGGACAAGTCATTCAGAAAATATAGTAGGAGAACTACACATTAGGAGAAACTATAGAGGAACATTGTAGGTACTTGTTTTATAAGTTGCTGTCTAGATTCTGAAGCAGGCTTTCCCTTTTGTCTGTTGATCAATGGGAAACTAAATGTCCCTTTTGTCTGTTGATCAATGGGAAACTAAATGTCATTTAAGTTTATTTGAAGTCGAATAACTTTTATCATCGAATTTTTATCGCAATCGTATCCATAATTGTGCTTTAAGGATCATTTAATTGTGTTTATTGGATGGTGTTTGGTCACATCTATTTTAACACGACCCAACATGCCATAAAACATTCTTACCTCGCACAGTGTTGCTGGGAGGCTGGAAAAGCCGAGTTTTAAATGAAAAGGAGCGAGCCATGCCGCATTCGTGCGCCCTGCAAAGCTTGCCATATCTTCCTCAATAGAGTAAAAAGTAACAATACAGTAGGGGTGATCGGTTTTTGGTTGATTTTCACTTTGGAATTGGAATCGAATTGGACAGGGTCAGTACCTAGTCTATGAAATTGGGAACCGACCATGTTCACCTTGAAAAAAGGACCGGCTGGTTCTGGTTTGGTTTTCGAGTTGTCCCAGGAACGGGTGATGTTATTTATTTTTGTTAAAAATGTTTTATTTTTTTCTCAAAAGTTTCTAAATATATTGAAAGTTACTCTAGTGCATATTGAAATTACTAATCCTATGGAAATTACTAATAAAAGAGGAGATTACTCGTAAATAATCTATATTTTTTGCCCCTACTAAAAAAATATGTACTCTCACCCAGTTCCGCCAATTCGGTCTAATTCCTAGTTTCTGGCCGGCTCGGTTCTCAAGTTGAACCAGGACCAATGCACATTCCAACATTACAGTAACGGATGCAGAAATTTTGATGAGAACAAAAGAAAAACAAATGTGATGCCCTAATTACACCGAGCAGTTAGGGGGACAACCCCCATCGATTCTCACCCCCTCAAAGTTTAATTGCAAAAAATGAGGACTACTCAAAGTTTTATAAGTCATCTTATTCGTCGTCTGGTGATTGATGAACCCTTAAGCACCCTCTAGGCATTCTTCAATCTTCCATCGTTGATGGAAAACAACGACCCTTTCTCAATGTCATCTCACCTCAATTCCTTGTACGAAACGACAGGGTCCAACCAAACTAGTGATCTTTCTTTCTCATAATCCACCATCTAGCCAACAGACAAGCGTGGCAACCATTTTTCATGGCAATTTCAGCAAAGCAAGCACAACAATATGCAAAACGAAGCAAAATTATTACTATACTTGAGAGGCAAAAACTTGGTCTATAAGCAAATAGGAGGTGTTCCTTAATGGGCATTGGCCGGGAAAAAAAGCCCAGTTATTGCTTTATTACTTCTTAGGGGCACTTGGCTGTTAATAGATAGTCAGTCCCTAAAATGATTGCAAATTCCCACATTATTACCGATGTTGATTTTCTTCATCTTATGTTAATGCAACCCAATCAAACCCATGAACTGTTATCATTGATGCCCATTGTCCTTCTCCTCTAGATCTGTTTTTCCTAGGAAATGTAGCTCTCTCATTCTTTATTTTTTCGAGTTTTTCGTGTCGAGAAGAGAAATTTATGAACATCGATCGGAAATTGAAAGGTTGATATTTTAATATTTGGGAAAAAAATTGGCCAAACTAAGCGAAATTGTTTTTAGCCATGCCCATCTGACAGAAATAACCATGAGTACATTAATTTGCATGAAAAATCAGATTTCCTTCAATTAAGCAAATATAAAGGAGCGCCGTTCATTCCCGAATGGAAACGTGAAAGAGATCCTATTGAGAAAAAGAAGAAGTCCATAACATGTTTGAAGCACAGGATGCTTCCTTTAAACCACAGAAAAGCATAAATATATTTCTTAAGTAACGCATGTCACAGTCCCCACCCAAAGAGTCGCCACAAAAAACTATTCCTTTTCTTCTTTTCTTGGTGTGTATTTCCAGCATGTAGAAAGCACTCCCTTTTCTTTGGTGCAACAAGTGGAAGCTTCTGATTGGCGGCGATATGGGGGAAATTTTGGAATGATGTGGATTTGGATTCAAGAAACCAAAGAAATTTTTAAGCTTTCTTATATGACAGTAACAAATGTGTACGGTGAGCTTATGGATATATATGTTCATGATCAGGGAAGAGAGACAATCCCAAGTAAAGTCAGCAGAACATTCCTTCCTCTGGGTGTTGAAGTTTGTGTTGGTCCTTTTCTGTGTTACATGCTTATGTCTGGCCATTTGAAAATCTGACAGCAATCCAAAAGGTCGAGTGATTTCCTGACATTGGGCGAGGAAACTACCGAAACAGGTGACTTTACATGTTCTTGTGCTCCTCTCAACACTTGATGAACATTAGGTGCTATTTAGACGTTTGTTTCGATGTCGAAAAATTTGAAGTTTGATCCTCTTTTTCCTGCTAATAGTAAGGTGGTGCTGAATTTGGCGCACCACAAGTTGGTCTTATCTGGAGGGAGTCTACTGATTGTTGGAAGATGAAGCAACAGGGAAGCGAGGTTCCAGAGAGTGTGCATCATGAGCCTTCCACATGTAGATATGATACCGAATCCGAGGCTGGCACCGAGCCTGAAATGGACGGCACTCTGCTGTAAGTCTGTCGCATTTGCAGTGAGATTGCCTGATGAATGCGTCTGCTTGATCCTTTCATGTAAATTTCACCTTTGAGGATAATTCCCATAGCGATTGATCCATCAGAGATATAAGCAAAATGATGCGCCGTCTATTAACTGATTGTTCTGCTTCTGAAATGCAGCAACGACGAGGCGAGGCAACCCCTATCGAGGAAGATTCCGATCCCTTCTTCTAGGATTAACCCTTATCGAATGGTTATTGTAATGCGCCTTCTGGTGATTGGATTTTTCTTATACTACCGTCTGAAGAATCCAGTTCACGATGCATACACGTTGTGGTTGGTATCTGTAGTTTGTGAGATATGGTTCGCTATGTCTTGGATATTGGAGCAGTTCCCTAAATGGCATCCTGTCAACCGTGAGACCTATGGCGAGAGGCTTGCCCTGAGGTTTTGATGTTCATTCCTTGCGTTGTCCATTGAAAGTTTCCCCTCTGCTAAGTCTTTCGTTGCTGAAAAGTTTCACTCGTTACCAATGTTGGCACAGATATAACAGGACAGGAGAGCCGTCTCAGCTTGCTGCAATTGATGTTGTGGTCACCACCAACGATCCTTTAAAAGAGCCTCCCCTTGTCACGGCCAATACTGTTCTATCCGTTCTTGCAGTGGACTACCCAGTCAAAAAAGTTTCTTGCTACGTTTCTGATGACGGAGCTGCCATTCTCACATTTGAGACTCTACAAGAAACGTCCGAATTTGCGAGAACGTGGGTTCCTTTTTGCAAGAAGTACAGCATCGAGCCGAGGGCCCCAGAGCAGTACTTCTCATGCAATGTGGATTACTTGAAGAACAAGATTCATCCTTCCTTTGTCAAAGAGCGCCGAGCCATGAAAGTAGGAAACTTTTCTGGACTACATGCACAACAATTTTTCGTGTGGCATGGTTTATTTGCGTGTGTCAAATGTTATTGGATCTACCTGTGAATGTATACAGAGAGAATACGAGGAGTTCAAAGTGCGGATTAATGGGCTCGTGGCAAAGGCAAGGAAAATTCCAGATGAAGGATGGATCATGAAAGATGGCACGCCATGGCCCGGAAATAACGTGCGTGATCATCCGGGAATGATCCAGGTTTGTCCTTCAGTTCGATCCGCATATTTCCTGCACTGATGTCCTCTTTGTGTTGTGTTGATAAATTTCACTATGCATTGAAGGATGCCAACCAATATGTACATGATAATTTCCAAAAGTGCATTTAAGATTTGCACCGAACCTGCTATGGATCGGAAAACTCCCTCGAACCAGCAGATAATTTGTGCCACCAAGCAATAAAGGATCCCATTACTCTCCCTTTTGTGTCTCTGTTATGCAGCTAATGTTTTTTTCTTCACTCTTGTTCTCCTGAAGGTCTTTTTAGGCCATAATGGAGGACACGATGCCGATGGTAATGAGCTTCCCCAGCTGATCTACGTGTCTCGTGAGAAGCGTCCTGGATTTCGTCATCACAATAAAGCTGGTGCAATGAACGCACTTGTAAGTCGTGATTGCATAAGCTTGAGCTTTTCTACCTTGATTTATTTGTGCTAGTTGAAATTCTTTAGGTAGGGATTAAATCAACTGACGGGTATCAACCTTTTGATAGGTTCGTGTGTCGGGAATACTTACCAACGGACCTTTCTTGTTAAATCTTAACTTTGACCACTACGTAAACAACAGCAAGGCATTGCAGGAAGCAATGTGCTTCCTCATGGATCCAAATCATGCAGAATCGGCTTGTTATGTTCAATTTCCCATGAGATTCGATGGGGTCGATAAGAATGATCACTATGCTAACCGCAACACCATGTTCTTTGATGTAAGTTCCACATCTTCTGTTACCTATGATGTCCATTAGTCATGATTTCTCAGCTTTACGTGCTCCGTGACTGCCTTCTTTGGATTTCAGATAAATTTGAGAGGCTTAGACGGCATTCAGGGCCCTTTATACGTGGGTACTGGGTGCGCTTTCAACAGGCGAGCTCTTTATGGTTTTGAGGCTCCGCGCAAGATCAAACAGAGAAAACAAGGGATTCTCTCAATGTGCTTTGGAGGATCACGTAGAGAGGATTCTACAGCTAAAAAGAGAACCGACAAGAAAATGAAAATTTCGAGCAGGAATGCCGATCCTAATGCTCTGACAGTCAATCTAGAAAATCCTCAAGAAGGGATAGAAGGTGGTTTTATGCAGTTCCTGTTAGAGTAATTAAAGTACTCTCGCTTACTATTGTCAAAACTTCATTTTTATGGGCGAGCTGTAAATCAACGTTCAGGGTAGTGTTCTTTCTTATCGATTTTGTTCTTCTTTGGGTCGTACTTTCTCATTAATTTTGAAGAAGTGATCTGAAAATGAAGTTTAGTTTGAAACTTCTGAGGCCTGCATATTCGGATTTCCCCCAAATTCGGGCGCAGGCTCTCGTCTATTAACAATTTAAACTGTAAGATGTAGAAAAGATTGATTTTGGCAAATCACCTCATAATGACTGAAGAGTAATGGTTAGCAAGTTAAGGGTGTCTTAGACTAGTGAGGCTAGATAATAATAATCCCTGAAAGTTCTGATGTGTAGGTGACGGATATGAGGATGACACGTCGCAGCTCACGTCACACTTGAGCCTGGAGAAATGGTATGGTCAATCATACGGCTTCATCGAGTCGATACTGCTTGAAACAGGGGATGTTTCTCAGTTCGCATCTCCAGAAACTCTCCTCAAAGAAGCCATTCAGGTTATTAGCTGCGGATACGAAGACAAAACCAAATGGGGAAGCGAAGTATGCCTCTATCACCCACTTCTATGGCCGTTTGCTGAAACACCTTAGCTGAATATGAGCTTTTTGCTCAGTATAAACAAAATGAAAATATACCTATGTGACAAAGAATGCTTGGAATCTGTGACCATGACGTTATTTTTGCAGATGGGATGGATCTACGATTCTGCATCAGAGGAATTCGTGACAGGACTAAAGATGCACACCCGTGGTTGGAGATCAATCTATTGCATGCCGAAACGTGCTGCTTTTAAAGGGTCAGCTCCCACTAACCTGTCCGATCGTCTAAATCAAGTTCTCCGTTGGGCCCAAGGTTCGGTTCAAGTGCTACTTAGCCGGCATTGCCCCATTTGGTGCGGGATCGGTGGGAGGCTGAAATTGCTTCAAAGGCTCGCATATATCAATGCGACGGTTTATCCATTCACGGCCATCCCGCTGCTCACGTATTGCACATTGCCGCCTGTCTGTCTATTCACCGGAAAGTTCATAATCCCACAGGTACACTTGATATGTATTGGATCGTGACCTCTCCTGACTCTTGTAAGACGTTACTTTTGTGATATGTTAAAACCGCATCGTTGAGTTAAATTGACGAACTATCTATCATATGCTTCCCATGGACCATAAAACTTCAGGGACAATCAATGTTTGCAACATGTAAATAGAGACTTAATGCTCCTGATCTATATAGCTTATTGTTTCTTTTCTCCAATTGCAGATCAGCATCATAGGCATTATCTCTTTTATCTCACTCTCTTTATCGATCCTCGCCTCCAACATACTAGAAATGAGATGGAGCGGGGTCGGGATTGATGAGTGGTGGAGGACTGAACAGTTCTGGGTAATAGGAAGTGTCTCGGCGCACCTGTTTGCTATTTTCCAGGGCCTACTCAAAGTCCTCACCAGAATCGATATCAGTTTCCATACTCCTTCCAAAAAATCCTACGAAAAGACCAACTTTTCCGAGCTGTACATGTTCAAATGGACGAGCCTGCTCATCCCGCCAACGACCCTCCTAATCATAAACCTGATCGGACTGGTTGCCGGAGTCTCTAGCGCCATAAGCAGCGGGCATCATATTTGGAGCGTGCTGTTCTGCAAGCTGTTCTTCGCTTTCTGGGTGATCATTCATCTCTATCCCTTCCTTAAAGGACTCACAAGCAGCCAGAACAGAGTGCCAACCATCGTCCTCGTGTGGTCAATTCTGCTGGCCTCTATCTTTTCCTTGCTCTGGGTGCACATCAATCCTTTTAAAACCCGGGTGGTTGGCCCGAGTGCCGAGCAGTGTGGAATCAACTGCTAGGCACCATAGAAATCTTGCACAAATCCGAGCGTGTTCACAAGTTTTCGTCACACGTGTTCAGTTTGACAAACAGGCTATATGAGTGAACTTCAACTATCTAGAGTTTAGTGAATCAATTGATTTGTTGATCTTATTCGGAAAACCTAAACCTAGCTTTATATAGTTGAGTTGCTGACAAGTTCCAATGTTGATCTTCGATAAAGTTTGGTTTTGTTTGAACTATAACTCGGTCGTGTAAGCATTGTATGATTATCAGTTAAGCAGGACGACCTTTTTCCGTGTTTCTGCTAGAAAGAATCTATTTATTCGCGTGATTCCGACATCTTCTCAGGAGTTAACAAATGATGAGCCATGAACCCTTTTCTCTGTTTCTGCTAGAAAAAGAAGCAACGGTCATAAGAAAGTTTCGCAGTCCATGTAGCTTTTGGAAAAGCAACATTATTAGATATTATGAGAACCACCATGGACTCGAGAGGCTTTATGGTATTTCTTGTCTTCCCACCAAAGAAAGGAACGGAATGAAAACTCTTTCATTACTATATCACCAAAAAAAATATGGCGAGAGGAGACTCTATAACTGCATAGACTAGGCCAAAATCCGACTGTATAGACTAGTCCATGTTGAAAGTCCCACCTAAAATCTCAAACCGATAAGTGACGGGAGATCGCATGTATATAAAGAGTATATAAACTTCGTAACCGAGAAATGTTGGATATTTTAACCGAGCGCATGCTAAAAGTAAAGATTCGCTCTTTCGCGGCGAAGTGGATTAGAACATCTATTTGGGAGTTTCAAACATCAAATCATCACAGGGTGACTGCTAGATGTAAATTTGATCGACGATCAATCACAAGCTAATATTCTTCGAAATTCGACACAAGGGTCTCTATATCTCACCTTGCCCAATTGATACTTTTGCCAGATTTTCTCGTGAAAGAAAAATACAAAGAACATCCAATCAAGAAACCACCAAATGAAGTTGGTTATTTCCAAAAGTAAAATTAAATATTTTGTATTGTTAAACATATTAGAGAACCTCTAATTGCGAAGAGAATAAGTGAGCTACAGTTCAAACAAAAACCCTGCAACACCATTCACATATATTTTCAAACCGTAATGCTGATCACTAGCAGCACTCCGTACCCTCGCCTTTTACGGTTTTACCCCTCCCATCTCCCTTAAGAAAGAAAATAAAAATCACCACGAAAAAAAAAAACGAAAATGGCTAAAGCTCACCGTCCTCCCGGCAGTCCCCCCCCCCCCCCCGCTTCACTTCTTCTCCGCCTGCTCCGGCGCCGGCGCGGGCTTCGCCTCCGGCGGCGGAAGCCCGCCGTCGATGCAGCTCTTGCACCGCCTCTCGACCCAGCCCTCGATGTCGTCCTCCCCGCTCCCCCCGAGGTGCCTCCCCCCGCACAGGCGGGCGACGATCCCGGCGACCACGCCGAGGATGGAGATCGCCGCCAGCACCACCACCAGCGTCTCGATGGACCGGTGCGCGTAGTAGCGGCCCAGCTCCGCCGCCGGCGGGGGAGGCCCCGCAAGCGGCGCGGATAGGCAGGCGTCCATCGGCGGGGGAGCTCTGTTTCCTCTTCTTGATGGAGGTGAAGCGGGAGAGCTTGATCCCGAGCTCAGGGAAGGGAGTTTACGAGGACGTGCATGCGAAGAAGGCAATGCCGTACGGCGATGCGAGGTGAGACTGTTGGCTGCTGAAGCGTGCGCGGAAGAGGAGGAGCGACGGCGAGAGAGAGAGAGAGAGAGAGAGAGAGAGAGTGAAGCTCGAGGAGAGAGATGGAAATGGAAGCAGAGAAAGGTAGAGAAAAGAAAAGCGGTTTAACGGCATTGTTTCTCGGAAAATTGCAAAAATATAAACAATTTTCTACTAATTTCGGGATGAGAAATATAATAACAACATTGACGATTTTTTTTTTTTGCAAAATCTATTGATATTTCAATTTAAGCAGTTATCACGAGGGGTGTGCAAAGGAACTGGGAACCGCCCGGAACAAGACCGGACCGACCCGGAACCGGCGGTTTCCGTGAGGACCGATCCGGTTCCCGGTTTTAATTTACTAGAACCGGTGAGTACCGGTCCGGTTCCCGGTTCTAGGCGTGGAATTGCCCGCCCGGACCGGACTAGTAATATATATATACATATATATATTTTAGGAAAATTTTAACCAACAAAAAAAAAAAAGAAAACATGTTTAGAAAAATGAAAACCATAAAATCCATAATCTAAAGCTCGACTCTCAACTCCCATCAACTCACGGCCGCGCCTTTAGGCATTCATCGCCTCCCTCTCTCACTCTCGGTCACCTCTATTTGCGCGAAACTTGATGGGACTGATTCCATGGACCCACCCGGGAACCGGACCGGACCGGCGATCCGGTTCCCGGGTAGATCCATGGAACCAACGGGCGGTTCCCGATTTTAATTTCTCCGAACCGGTCCTTAGTGGGCGGTTCTCGGTTCCATGTTGAGAACCGCCCGCCCGGACCACGCTCACCCCTAGTTATCATTGCCGCGGACGGTCTTATTTCAAATTATACCCACTATAACATAACTACCTTCGTCTGACACGAATACCTCTGACTTTTTTTGTGGCACGAAAAAAACCAAACTTATGCATTCGTGACATATAAGCTGTCTCTTTTAGTTTCATTCATGGTATATTTGTCACGCCGCGAAAAATTTTGAGGTATTTGAGTCTCAATGGCAAGTTTATGAAAGTTCGGAATATATGTGTCGTAGTGAATATTGTTTGGGATTTTTTTTTTGTGGTATTAACTCATTATTTTAGAGGCATAGGGAGAATCATAAAATTAACAAAAAAATAATAATTTTCCAAGTTCAAATCATGCATCTGCCACCTTTACTAAAAGTGAAGGAAATTAACAGTGTTCGACGATTTTGCAATTAAATACGAAAGCGGGTAGGAAATTTCGAATATTCTGCATCTTTGTAGGTATTAACTGTAAATAGGATTAAAATGCGACAATTGGACGTGGGAAATTTTTTGTGGGCTGAAGATTGGAGGACGAATCCTTCAAAAGAGCATAGGAGGAAAATTTCTCTCCTTATTTTTCTGGAAATATATATATAGAAAGAGAAGGAAAATATTAATGCCTTTAATCGCCGGGAATTGCAAAAATAGAAAATAGAAGAAAATGAAGGGGGCATCTGACATGTCAGCAGTGGGTTTTGGACTACTATTTGGCACTCGAGCGGAAAATCAATATGTTGGTGCCACGTGTAAATTTTTGGTTGGTGGGGTGGTGAGCTCAAGAACCGAGTCAAGATTGTACCTGGTACCCCTCTCGTCAGAATCTTTCCCTTCTTGTCACTATCTCCGTGCATTTAAATGAGTGATGATTTCATGTATAATCCCCGAACTTTGATACAATGCATAATGTGATTCTTAAATTTTTGAACGTTTTCATATAGCTCAGAGACTAAATTGAATATGTATCAAAAGTTCAAGGATCATATTAAAAAATTAAAAATTTAGGGACTACATTATATACTGGGTTAAAATTCATAAATTGCATTCCACATTGAGCAAAAGTATTATCTTTGTTTTTATAGATTTTCTCTGTCGGATCGATCGATACAAAATCACAACCATCCAAATCGAAAATCTGCCGAAGGGGGCGAGATTTGTTACATTTCAATTCTACGGCTAAAGATAATGAGAAGTGATCGAATTGGTGACCTTTAAGTCAATTGTTTTTTCAAGTTTTTCGTTCACTAAATTGGGCACAATCTTCGACTATTGGGCCCGAGTGGATCTCTTAGTGCCTAATTATTTTCTTTAAGGTTGGGCCCTCTAGGACATTTTAAAGAAATTTTGGCCCTAGATTGGGTCGCTAGGGCCCATGGGGCTAACCCAGCCTAGGCCCAAAATGGGGCATGACCCGTGACCTAATGGGACGTTTCGTGCCTGAGCCAGCATGACTTGTTGCCCTGCCCTAACTCTGAATTGGAACAGTTACGGTTATTGAATCGTGATCCTTTACCTCAAATGAAACAATTATGTTCTCAATCGATGGTATTGAGTGAATTCGTTGGTTTGTAAGCGGTAAAAACTAAACAACAAGTATTTTTTGTCTCTTAAGTAAAACTCCATACACTTTTTTATGTACTTTGAAAAGCAAAGATATTTCTGTGTTACATATATAAGTTCAAGCTCTTCTACTTTTTTTGCAATGGTCCCCTCTTTTCCTAACCCTTGCACTTTCAACCGAGGGTATTCTCGTCACTTCATCAAATTAACCGTGGAGGAAGCATTTCACACAAGTTTCCCCGGCAAAAGCCGAAGGCCCGTCAGGCCCGTGAAGCTGAAAATGGGCTTTTCGGGCTAATAAGCCCATATCCTTCGTCCTGGGTAGGCCCGGCCCAACGGCCCATTACCGGTCAATCGCTGCACAAAACCCTAGCAGCACCACCTAGAAATTCTTCCTTAATTCTCCACCGTCTCCCTCTCTCCGACCCTGATCACCACCTACCGCCATCCCTCGCATTTGACAGAGAGGAAGAGCCCATGGCGGAGAGAGGTGGAGGCGACCGTGGCGGCTTCGGCCGCGGGTTTGGCGGCCGCGGGGGCCGGGGCGACCGCGGGGGCCGTGGCGGCCGCCGCCGCGCGCCGCGCCAGGAGGAGGAGAAGTGGGTCCCCGTCACCAAGCTAGGCCGCCTCGTGAAGGAGGGCAAGATCCACTCGCTCGAGCAAATCTACCTCCACTCGCTCCCGATCAAGGAGTACCAGATCATCGACACCCTGGTCGGGCCGTCGCTCAAGGACGAGGTGATGAAGATCATGCCCGTCCAGAAGCAGACCCGAGCCGGTCAGAGGACCCGGTTCAAGGCCTTCGTGGTCGTCGGCGACAACAATGGCCACGTGGGGCTGGGAGTGAAGTGCAGCAAGGAGGTGGCGACCGCGATTCGCGGAGCGATAATCCTCGCGAAGCTCTCGGTGATCCCGGTGAGGAGGGGCTACTGGGGGAACAAGATCGGGAAGCCTCACACCGTGCCGTGCAAGGTCACCGGCAAGTGCGGGTCGGTCACGGTCAGGATGGTGCCGGCGCCGCGGGGGGCCGGGATCGTCGCGGCCCGCGTGCCGAAGAAGGTGCTCCAGTTCGCGGGTATCGAGGACGTGTTCACGTCGTCCAGGGGATCCACGAAGACTCTCGGGAACTTCGTGAAGGTAGCTCCTTTACTCGAGCTTGTGTTCGTTCTGTTTTGTTGTTTAATTGAATTGTTAGACCATGCTTTGCTGATGCACTGGATGTTTTTGTCTTGTGAAGTGAAAGTGTGAAAATGGACTATATTTGAAGGCCTTTGATGTGCTTGAATACCTTAATTCTTAATGACGAGGATGCGATCGACACTCTGACCAGTCTCTGTGTAGTTTGCAAATAGCAGTAATCATCACGAGCTTTGTAAGCATGTTCCACCCAATGGTGTCGTTGATGATGGTAGAGTTTGGGTGTCCTTTAGCTTATCATTGTCATGAATTTGTATTTAGACTCCGTGATGAATTTGCACTGCTTGTCATGACAATCCATTGCTTATGTATTGCCGTCCTATCTCATCAATCCTCTAGAGTCAGAGAGTGAAGCAGAACTAGAATGGATATTTTGTTGCTTTTCAATCAATCTCTAATTCTAATCTTCCTTTCACTGTTGTGGTACAATTGGCTATGATGCCAAGACTTTGCAATATTTGATTGATCACGATTCTGTGTATTGCCATTTTCTATAGAAGTTCCCGGGGAATTCATTGACAGAATGTTTCCTATAAAAAGTATTAGTTCTTTTATATCCTTATAGAATTAATCAGGTGGTTCATATAATCAGAAGAATATGTGAGTGATTAATATATGACATCTCCTTCTTGTATCAGATGTTCTACCAGTTGACTCCTTTGTAGAATGGTTGTTGTGTTGTTCGCGAATCCACTGTGGTCTTTATTTCAAAGGCATGGTTTTGGACTTATATTTCATAATATTAATTAAAGAAGAAGCAAGACGAAACATAGAATTTAACCAAGAGAGTTTGTCAAGGCAGGCTCAGGCGGTTACGGGGTACAAATTTGGCTTTCTGTAGTCGATAAACTTCCATCTGAAATGTGCCTGCTCTGCCTCATTGACGGTCTATGCCGTACTTTATCTATGTGATGACATGGTGTTGAAGTGGTATTACTCGGTCATGAAATTGTGCCTTCCACTTTTTTCTTACTTTTTATTTCTGGCGATTTTCCTCAACATCCTCGATCAAATGTTTTCTCTAATTTGGTGATGTCGTGTGTGCATTGAGACTGTGCAAGTTCTTTTCGAGGTTAGTAACATGTGTAATCCTGGTGTTTTATGTTAATCCTGCTTGTCCACAGGCAACCTTTGACTGTCTACTGAAGACTTATGGCTTCCTTACCCCTGACCTCTGGAGGGAATCAAGATTCATAAAGTCTCCCTTCCAGGAGTACACTGATCTGTTGGCGAAGCCCACCGGGAAGCCGCTCATTTTGGACGACGTCGAGAGGATCGATGCCTGAGGTAGCTCTTTGGCGGCTAGGAGTCGTTTAGTTCGCGTCAGCAACATTACTTTAGGTTGTTTGTGTTGTTTGTCTTCACATTTGTATGACATTCAGTGCCTTTTGTTACAATTTGGATTGAGGATTGAACATTTGGTCCATATTAAAAATTTTTTCAGAACTTCTCGTCGAATATCTGGTCATGCCTGATATTGTATGAGTAACGAGTGTCGGATATATGACCGAGGGCAACTTGCAATGTGGGAAAATTGATTTTAGATAGGGAAAGGCCAAGCCTGAAAGAGATAGGCTTAGCCAAGAATGCGTACATGGTTTAAGCTGGGGATCTGCTGTTCGGTTCACGTACTTTGATCAATGGTTAAGGTTGAAGGCGACGAGGTTTTATCCTCTTATGTCCAAAATCTACAGGAGCAGTTAACTTCCGCTACAATCAATGAACAATGCAGTTTGAGATTAAGAAGCAAACTCTTAAAATTGTGCTAATCATATTTGCTCCTAAGCTAAGTATAGGGCAAACTAATTCAAAACTCTCGTGGAACTTTGGTTTTATGCGTTTGTTCTGAACTTTCATTCGTTACAAATTACTCCCCAAACTTTCATTTTGGTACGGTCCTTAATTCCTTATATTACCCAGCCAATGCACTTCTATTACTCAGTAGACCGTCGATAGCATTAAGTGAACGGTGATGAGAAAGAGGAAGTAACCTTCCGAAGCTCCTATTTGGGCTATTGAGTAGGGGTGATCGATTCCTGATTCGTTTCCGTCCCACCCAAGCACCGGGAACCGGACCGGATCAACCAGTTTGTTCCAATGGAATTGGTGACTTAGCAATTTCACATCAAAATTTCAGCAGCCTAGACATGATGTAGAATTCAAATTTTAAGCTGCAATGTAAATTATGAAGGTAATCATGGAGCAAAATCATGAGAATCGACGTTGCCTTTAGATCGGAACATAAGAAATGGAAGTTTCAAAACTCATGCATGTCGCCATATATGTTCAGACTTGTGTGCTCTCACGACTTGGTCGATAGAGCAAGACTAAACTGAAGAAGTATGTGAATTAGCACAATTCGGGTAATATAAGCACTAAATTTGAGGTCTGAGGCAATACTACAATGGAATCTCGAGCTTAAACGAACCAAGCCAATGAGAATCAGCTCCTAGAGGTGATTAAAGTCTCTAATCTAAGCAAATCTCCATCCACAAACCTCATCATTGCTCGCGGACAATGAAGAAGGCAATGCCATGATTAAGAGAGGTGCATAAGGATGGAACCAAACGCTAAAACATCGATCTACATCTCAGAGACAAAAATGAAGCATTCACATGTTGGAAACGAATGATCAAAATCTAAGAAAATGCAAAGACAACAGAAAATCGAGTGAGAAAAACTCATGAATTACAAGAAAGGGCCATTTGAGAGCAAGAGTCAAGTGAGAGCCTAGAGGAACATTTGAGAGTCGAGCGAAAGCTGAGTTGTGGAAAGAGTGAAGAGCAAAAGAGTGAAGCATGAAAGGCGAGAGGGAAAAAGTGAAGAGCGTTGACATCGAGCACGGCGTGAGGCAAAGTGGAAGGCGAGATTAGATTAAGGTTTTCTACAAATTTTTTATACATGTATATAATCAGTCCGATTCCCACCCTGAGAATTGGGAACCCAACTGGCACCCCATGGAACAGCTCAGAATTGTCTAGTTCGGTCCGGGCTATTCCCAATTCAGTCAGTGATTATGGATGGTTGTCCTACATCGAAGTTACTAAGGGAACAAAGAGCACTTGATGTTGGGTGGTTGTGGAATTCACTTGGCCCAAGTTTGTCATTCAACAACGTCAATAATTGCGCCTCTTTTCGAGCCCAATAGGCTAAATGGATCCTTGGGCACCGTTTTACATTTTCGATTCTACCCATTTCACCCCAAGTCCATGCATGCTCAATTGCTCAGTTCCCTAGTTCAGCAAAAAAAAAGAAGCAAGTATTCTCAACCCGGTTCGAAACAGTTTGGTTTGTGATTCTAAACCCTGAACAGGGCCGGTTCTAGTACAAAACTACCGAATCGATCAAGACCCGTTTCCAATTTTCAGAACCGACACCAGACCGGTCCCCATGTGAACCAGCTTTGAATGGGCCGTGTAAGGTTGGTCCTGACCTGTTTCCGATTCGAACCAGCCCGATTGCTCACTTCTAAATTATTATTTATTGGGGGTCAAAAGTGGATAATTTCAGAAGCACAGGGGTCGAAAGTGTAATTTCTCAAGAGTTATGTATAACTCTGCAACCAAACACTCCGAAACGCCCCCTACGAAACCCTAGTTCTCTCGCCACACACACACATATATATATATGTTCTTCCCGGTCTCTTCCCCATCCATCAAACCCTAGCTCATTTTGCCTCCGCACCACTACCCTCGCGAACCAGAGAAGGCAATGGCAGAGAGAGGCGGAGGCGACCGTGGCGGTTTCGGCCGTGGGTTCGGCGGCCGCGGAGGCCGAGGCGACCGCGGAGGCCGTGGCCGCCGCCGCGCGCCGCGCCAGGAGGAAGAGAAGTGGGTCCCCGTCACCAAGCTCGGCCGCCTCGTGAAGGAAGGCAAGATCCAGTCGCTGGAGCACATCTACCTCCACTCGCTGCCCATCAAGGAGTACCAGATCATCGACACCCTGGTCGGGCCGTCGCTCAAGGACGAGGTGATGAAGATCATGCCCGTCCAGAAGCAGACCCGGGCCGGCCAGAGGACCCGGTTCAAGGCCTTCGTGGTCGTCGGCGACAACAATGGCCACGTGGGGCTGGGAGTGAAGTGCAGCAAGGAGGTGGCGACCGCGATCCGCGGAGCGATAATCCTCGCGAAGCTCTCGGTGATCCCGGTGAGGAGGGGCTACTGGGGGAACAAGATCGGGAAGCCTCACACCGTGCCGTGCAAGGTCACCGGCAAGTGCGGGTCGGTCACCGTGAGGATGGTCCCGGCGCCGCGTGGTTCCGGGATCGTGGCGGCGCGTGTCCCGAAGAAGGTGCTCCAGTTTGCTGGTATTGAGGACGTGTTCACCTCGTCCAGAGGGTCTACCAAGACTCTCGGAAACTTTGTGAAGGTATGGTTGTTTTGCTTGTGAAGATTGTCATGTTGTATGGATTGGTTTTGCTATCTGTTTACACTTTGTGGTGAATTTATTAGGTTTCAGCTAGGTGTTTGATAAGTTCGGTATGCTGATGATAGCTTTTTTGTAGTCGAGGCTTGTGAGATGTTCAATTAGCTAGGATTTATACTTGGGAATAAGGTCAAGGCAAATCCATTAGAATTGGCTGATATCATCTGCTTTGCCCCGGTTTTGGAATTACTGAGGTGGTTGGTCCTGAACTCGTATAGCTTATCATCTCCATGAAAGCAAATTCAAACTCGGCGTGAGTGTGTGATTTTGACCTTGCCTCATGGAGACAGAAGAACAAAAGGATGGGGGAGGGGTTGAGGGATAATGGCTTAAATTCTGATGATGAATCTTGGGGATTAATATTAATATGATACTGCTTGTGCATCTATTTTCAATTTTGATTGTGCCTTCGGTTTTCTCTAATAGTGTAGGTTTGTACCATGTTAGTAAAAAATGTGTGCATTCGAAAAGAAGTAGGAATAAGTTTAGAATCTACTTCTTTGAAAAAAACAAAGAAAGAACAAAGAATCTAACCGAGATGGGTTGTTTAAGGTTGGCCTTTTTGGAGGAGATAAATTTTTACTTGAAATGTGCCTGCTCTGCTGTGCTTCTTTTTTAAGTTGATTGATGGTCTCTATGGCAGCCCATCAACTTGCCGATACAGATATTCAGTTGCATTTCCTAGCTTCTGACTGATATTGTTTATAGAGGTTTCTCAAATCCATCTAGAAGTAGTAGTAGTAGCACATGCACTATATTCATTTAACAAGCATTTTTTGTGTATTAAAAGTTAATTGGGTTCTAAATCACTCTGCTTGTCTGTAGGCAACCTTTGACTGTCTTCTGAAGACCTATGGGTTCCTTACTCCGGAATTGTGGAGGGAATTGCCAATCAGAAAATCTCCATTCCAGGAGTTCACAGATACATTGGCAAAGCCCACTGGGAAGCCACTCATTTTGGACGACGCTGAGAGAATTGATGCCTGAAGCTAGCATTTGGGTTGTTAAGAGTCTTTAGTTTTGTTAGTACTTATAATTTGTTTAAGATGTTATGTTTTTCCTTCTGAGATACCATGCTGCTACCCTTTTGGTATAACTGGGCACTGCTTCATCTATTGCTTTTTGTCTTGATTTTCATGAGGGTTGAAGACAGATACTGTGATAAATCTTTCAGAGATTCACATTAAGTTCTCGTTCAATTTGGGTCGAGACGTTCTTTCGTGTTTGTCACCACATCTTTTTCCTTTTGTGTCTTTCCCTGCATCTCCTGTCTTATCTATGAATAACTCATAGGAGGATATTGTATTCTTGACAGAAGCTACATTTGTTGTCGAAGTTGAACTCTCTGAAGGAGATAGATGCTGCTTGCTTCGATTCATTACCCTATGTTATCGCTGCGCGCTTCAAACTAGTAACAGGAGCCGTTGCCTTTTGGCCAGTTTTGGTTATTAGATCGTGTCCGCATCGGTCTTCTTAGACAACAACTCAGGAGGTGAAAACTTGTCAATGCGGTTGAAATAAGCAGAGACCCATGGTCGTTTTTGTTTCTCCTGGGAAGTGGTTGCCTTGGAAATTTTATTGGAGTAGTTTAGCATTCTACCTGCTCGTGCCATGCTAAATTAGTTTTGGCAAGGTCATGTGTGGCTTAGGTACCTACTCCATGCAAAGGAGTTGTCGCGGTTTAAACGAGGGATTGTCGTCATTGATGAGATGATGCGAGTTGGACGTCTTATCTCTTTTAAGATTGTGAATTACGTCAAGAGATTTCGGACGGTGGCAACTGATATCGAATGCCTCATTGCCGCAGGACCATTTAGTCTTTCAATGTGTAACCAGGTTTCGGCGTTCGAAGCCGGATCTGACTTGATGTTCTTGCTGTCGAGCGATCTTCACGTTACATCCTCATTGTACTTTTGACAACTCGAGAACCTCGAATCTGTCTCGTTGATCATAGCGGCTCCAACTACTAGAATCAAGTTTGAGATTCGATTTCTCTCGAACACGAAAAAACTTGCCTGGAAATCGACCCGGGAGTGACCTCATTGGTCCGACTCCAGGATCAGACCGTGCAGGTTGTGCATTCCTAATCTTAGCTTTTAGGGGCACTTTCTTCTTCTATTTTTACTTGTGTTGGTTAATCTTGGGATAATCATTCCAAAAGTCGTAAATGTATTATATAGCAATCAATTTAGTTTCAAATCTTTTGACGAATTGTCAATTTAGTTTTAAACTTGTGTCAATTTAATTTAAAACTTATTGAAGAGGATATCTAAATAATATATATATGACTTTTCGGATAATTTTTTCGGATGACTCGTGCTATTACCATTCGCCCAGGAAAAATATAGCGGGAAAGGAGGGGGAAAGAGAAGAGGAAAGCTCTCAGAAATCGGGTCAAAAATCTGGATTGTTTTTAGCGTCTCTCTCTCTCTTCGGTGCGGTACGGCAAAAAACAGGGAGACCCGGATTCCTCCAATCTGAGGAAGGACGACCGGGCCAACGACTTTCCGCTGTCGCTCTGTTTCGGTTCCCTCCCATTCTTCACGCGGATTTTTGGAACTCCTCGAGACCTCCCGAGTCGTCGTGTTCATCTTCTCGGTCCTAAATCCCCCACAAAACTCGCCGAATCGAAAGTAAGTCGCACGTTTGCTCTCGCGATTTCACGGCTCCTCTCTTCTTCTTCTTCGTTCCTCGTGAATCCTCGTTTCGGGTCCGGTGTCGGAGCGCTCGCCGAATTTCCCGATGGGGACGCCGGAGTTTCCTGATCTGGGGAAGCACTGCACCGTCGACGTCTGCAAGCAGATCGATTTCCTTCCCTTCACTTGCGATCGCTGCAATCAGGTCTCCTCTCCTTCTCCTGCTCCCCTTCTCCTCCCACCGCCGTCTCCTCTCTCTCTCTCGTTCGCCTGTTCGCCTGTGTACTCTTTTCTTTTTGTTTGTTTCGTTTTGGACTTTGGAGGGCTACGCGTCGGTGGAGATTGCGTCCGTCCGAGTTACCTGATTCTCTGGTTTAGGATTTTCGATGCTCCTTGGCTCATGTCTTGATCTTTATCTTGATTATGGGTGTGTGTGGAGGCAAAGCGAGAGGAGAACGTGACGGCGATTGTGTGATTGCCGGAGCTCGATGTTGGGCCTCTTTTGATTCAATTCATAGGTAGAAGTGTTAAGTCGAACTGGCAAATCTATCGTATTGGGTGTAGTTTGCGGTGTCAAATATTTGCGAAGAGGAGTGGATGATCAGGAAAAAGTGGGTCCGAGGTGAATCAGCTTCTTGCACGTCTAAGTTAATTTTGGGAGTATGAAGAGCTGCTTGCAGATATAATGTCTCGCGGATCTCCGTCTTGTACACTGGGCGCACACTGGGCGCGGGTTACCTCTTAAAGAGCGAAAGGGAAGGTTGGGATGTATCTAATACCTAGTAGGAAAAGGAATATAGAATGGTGTGCAATGGGAATGTGAGTGCACAGTGAATTTGTCGAATTGGTTTTGGGGAAGTGGGTACTTGTTATTCATAGGTGAAGATGACTCTGGAATTAAAATGCTGAAGCGGAATAAACGAAACTTTACGTGTTGAATAATGCGTTTTTATTCATATACTTTTATGAGCGAACTATTTGTTTTTAGCTAACAATCTCATGAATTTTGACTATTCGAGGTAGAACTCACCGAGTGGAGTAACTAGCTAGACATCGAAATAGAGATGATAGGATGCATCCAGCGTGAGATATCGTGTGCATGTCAAGATTCTCTGCAATCAGACGAGTTACCATGGTGCAGCTCTTAAGGTCCTTTGCTCGCTAGATAGTTGCTCTTAAGTCTAGCAGTATGTAATATGTGTTTCTTTCTCGTTTTGTGTTCTCCTCTTTGGATTAGTAACTAAAAACAAGATAAGTCCCCCTTTTCTGATCATTGCTTAACTGTTGCATTGTTTTCGTGAACTGGCCGCATTTATCACTTCTTTTTGTTTGGTGCATTCATCTGATTTATGAAATATATGTGATTGTAGGTATTTTGTCTGGAGCACAGGAGCTACATCAAACATCGATGTCCGAAAGCTGACAGGAAAGATGTCACAGTTGTTATCTGTCCACTCTGCGCCAAAAGTGTCCGGCTTAATCCCGATGAAGACCCAAATATTACTTGGGAGTCCCATGTTAATATAGAGTGTGACCCCTCAAATTTTGACAAAGTCACAAAGAAGAAAAAATGCCCTGTACCTGGTTGCAGGGAGATCCTTACATTTTCAAACACAATTAAGTGCAAAGACTGCACTCTGGATCACTGCTTGAAGCACCGGTTTGGTCCAGACCACAATTGCGCTGGTCCAAAAAAACTAGACACTACTTTCCCCTTTGTCAATTTTTTGAACAGGAGTAAAAAAGAAGTCTCAAAATCAAGTGGAGCTCCAGCAACATCTTCCAAGTGGACGGCGAGCATTCTGAATGCTGCTTCAACAGTTAGAGCCTCAACAGCAGGAGGCATGGCGAAATTGAGTAATGAATTAAACCGAGCATTGCAAATTGCAAAGGATGGGGTGGGGCAGAGTAGCAGCAGTGTTAGTGGTGGTGGTAGTGGAAGTGGAAGTAGGCAGCTAGAGGAGTGCCCACAATGTGGTGCAAAGTTTTCATCTGTCGCATCCCTCATAGAGCATGTGGAAAAGGTCCATGAGAGCAGCGGTAACCGTGCCCCTGTTCGAAAGGTCACAATTGATGTTTGCCCCAAGTGTAGTAGAGGATTTCGTGATCCCATTTCTCTTGTGGAACATGTTGAAAGGGATCACGGTGGTACTTCTACAGCTTAGTAAGCCATACTTTGTGACGTTTCAAAAGCAGCATGTCAATGACAGATCTTTGGAAGTAGTTGTTTTGTCATTTGTTTAATTATTGGCAAATGTTCAGTTTGTTTGAACGCGTCGGACCTATTTGTCTGAGGGCTCATTTGTGACTCTTCTGCAAGTGCATTGTTAACTGTGAGGAGGATGTACAAGGGGAAAGGTGGAGGTATAATAGATAGAATTTCGAGCTTTTTGATTGTGAATTCTTAAACAATCAAAAATCAATTTTATTTTTACCACTTTCTTTTAGTTATGCAAACAACTATTTGTTGTGGCTTTCTCTTTATTGATGGTTTTCTGTCCAATGAGGACATTGAAAGAGAGAGAAGCATGCCAGTGCACTCTTGCTGAGAAACAATTTTCGCCCAGGTTCTGTCAGATAGCGCCCTACTGAAATAAGGAAATGTTGTAATTTCTAGTATATGGCGATTTTACTAGCGATATGTGTCAGTATTCTGACAATTGAAGTTTGGCTTATGAGGTATGTCTGGGTACTAGTTAACACTATCCTTTATTTATGCGCAGTATTAGCTTCCAAGTATCTCGTCTTTCTGTAATAGAATGCTTCCTTGACAATACTTTCAATCGCATCATGAGAGAAATTTCTGGACCATGTTATCTCGATTTTCCATTGAAGTGCCCATTCTTCTCCCTCACAAATCTCAATTCCAGAGCAACATTGACATTTACGCATGCATGTTTACTGTTGTTTCTAAGCTCATTGCAGATGTGTACTGAGAATGCCTTTTCAGCTCAGCACCCTTGATTTGTTGCATACTTTAGGGAAACAGTGAAATGCACTCTGGCAGCTGTTTGGAATAATTCATACCCAAATAATTGTTACTTATGAATTGGATGAAGCTCGTTTTGACCACTCCACTGTCCGTCCTTTCTATCATCCTCTTCTCTGCCTGATTCTGAGTGTGGAAGCACTCAAGTGCTTCCAGTTGTGATGGTGGCTTTAATAGCTGGATGACTTTCTCACTGTCGACTCTTTTTGTAGTCTTGCACCTTCTTCTCCGGTATTTTCTGGCTTGAGTTTGCTTTAAGGAATAGCAAGCAATCAAACTGATTTGCCTTTTGAAACTCCTTCTGCTTTGAAAAAGGCGACGAGGGACGACCTCATCCAATGAGCTAGCAAGGCCAATTCGACTTCGGGCATTCGCATGCGTTGGGTCCACACCAGCCGTGCTGTCGACTGCACATATTGTCGGATCGAGGTAGCAGCAAGTGAAACGCGAGGATTTTCCTAATTCCGGTGTCCTACTGTAAATTGAATGGGCGGGTCATAAGGTGTGTACCTCAACACAGATGAGCAGCCTCCTTATGTTTGTTCACCAACAATGAAGGGATACCATTGACAGCAACAGAGAACGAACCAAGCAGCTTCTCAGGGAGTCCCCGCGTTGGGCCAGTCCATTGTTAAAATTTAGTCAACTTGAGTTTGAATTCGCAAGCTCGTCTCGTCCGAAACGACTTTATGAAAACGGCTAATGTGACTTTGATGAAGATCAGGGCATGTGTAGTGTCCAGAAACCTTCAAACGTTTCTTTACTTTTTTTTTTTGTTTCAGGAAAATAAAAAATAATAAGCAGATTTTTGGATTTTTTTATTAATTAATTAAGGGCTCCACACAGCTCAGCTCGTACCTCACCATGCACAGCATGCCATACCCTGCATCAAAAAGTCGCCATTTCTAGACAGCAACTTGAACGAACCGTGTATGAAAATGAATCTGACTTGCATTTATATGAAATGAATGCACAATGAAGATTGTCCAAATTGAATTCATTTTATCTTGATGTCCAGTGTGTGCTTGATGCACTGCATGATTTTCCCTGTTACACTTTGAAAAACTTTTATGGAAAAATTATGAATTAGAACTTCAACGGGACGCTGCTCACAATTTCAACATTTTAAATCCCCAAAAACGAAAAAAAAAACGATTGTTTACCAAAACAAGAAAAATTGTTTACCAAAACAAGAAAAATACTTTAGTGGTGTGTGACTTTTCAGTTAGACAAAAAAAAAGACGTCTATGTTCCGGGGAATTTTATGATTAAAAAGTGTATCTAGATAGATTTTTACTTTTCCCTATCTGTCTAATCCGAATCTCGTGAAAGATGCATTTTGATTCCGTCTTAACTCGTAACGCCCGAAATTTCCTAATTGTGACATATAAACTCACACATGATTTTCTTTTATAGTTCTTTCTAAAAATTCGGATGATATATTAAATTTCGGTCAAAAAAACAAAAGAGTTGGCTGAAGCATAAAACCAAATGACGTCGGCGTTATCCTCGCTGTCAGAGTGTCAACTGTCAAGACAGCACAGCCACACCACGACTTCGTTCCCGCGAAAAACTGACGTTAATTCAAAACGCCTTACCAAAGTACGATATTTTCACAATAAAAACCAAACGAAAAAAATAAGGAACAAAAAACAAGCAAAAAACAAAAAGTTAATACTACGAAAAATCTCAAGCCGATACATCTGTGATAAATTTACCTTTCGTTAGTTTCCGTTTAATTTTAACCATTAGATTACTAAGTTGGATGACACGTGGCAGTTGACGAGTGTATCCATTTGGGATTTAACCTCTATTTGTCAAGGGTGTATCGATCTGCGATTTTTCGTGATATCGATCCAATTTAACGAAAATTAATGGAGTGTAAATTCATTACAAATGTACCGGTTGGGGGTTTTTGATGGTCAAAAAATTAGTTCGAAGTCAATTCATCATAAACATATCGATTTGAGTTTTTTCGTGGTATTAACAAAAGAAAAAAAAAACACAAGAATTCTCTCTGCCCAGTAAAAAGAAAAAGAAAAAAAAAAGGGAATTCATTTTTGGTCGGAAGAAAATAAGAAATCGAGAAATCCGATGTGGTGGGCTCCCACAATGATGGTCGCGTGAGGCCCACACATGTCAGAAACCGTTGAATGCCTGCGTTTATAGACACATTCTCAAGCGCTTCGGCAGGCGCTCATTCGAATATAGCGAGCGAGAAGAGAGAGAGAGGGAGAGATTTGCGGTGCCACATTTCGCATCGCAGGGAGACGATTTGCAAAGAAATTTCATGGCAATGGGTTCCGAGGATTTCCAGCCTCTCCGCCTGCTCCGTCCGTGATTTCCCGAGGTATCCTTCTCCCTTCTCTCCCTCCCCCTCCCTCTCTGTCTCTCGTTCTTTCTTCTTTCCAATTTGGCACCCACATTCGATCACCATTCTTGTTTTCTCTTTTCCCTTTTTCCGATGACGGGTTTTGTTGTTCATCTGTCGATGCGCTGTCTCGCCGCGTTCTTTTGGTTGACTCGGTGTGATCCTATGCCGGGTCTTCGTTTGCTCGTCCCCGTTTTGCCGAAATCCGCGGACATTGTGCTCGAATGGGTTCATTCGTTGATGGGTTTTTTCTTTTTTCCTTGCTTTTAGCTTTTCTGGTTTTCGAAATGCGGGAATCGGGCATTCGTTAGGGGGGAGCTAGGAGTGACCTTAGATTGGTGATCCTTGCATTGCAGGCTGGTTTGCCTTTTTGAAGAGGTGACGCGTTCCGTTCCGGGGGCAGCCTTTCTTTCCCTTCCTGCGCGCCCCGCGGTACAGGCTCCGACATCTGTTCCGCGAGGGAAAGAAGGGTTGTGTGTGTGGGGGTCGGGGTTTTCTTCGAAATTTCCGGAGGCGATTGCGCGGGGATTTGAGGAAACATGAGTGTCATTTCGGGCCTGATCTCCAGGCGAGTTTTGCCTGTTTGCGGCAATCTTTGTTTCTTCTGCCCGGCGATGAGGGCGAGGTCCAGACAGCCTGTGAAGAGGTACAAGAAGCTCATTTCCGATATATTCCCGAAAAACCAGGTTAGTGATCTTCAAGCTCGGTTTCACTTTTCATATTATGGGCGTCAGCAATTGGTGGTTTTGCAATTTATTTGCTGATTAAAACTTTAAAAGAAGCTTGCGGGGCTTGTTTAAATGGAAGCATACATGGGTTTTGGGACAATATATGACTTAAGAATTCAGTTGGTGTGGTAAAATTATCCTTTTTGATCAATCTTTTGGTTTCTTCACTAAGTGAAGACAGGGCCAGCATCCCAGCAAAGGGCTTACTAATTATTATTTCATTTTCGCTCTGTAAGAGAAAATCATCACAAAAGGTTTGGTAAGCAAGAGCAGGAGGAGTCTATCATTACCTAGACAGCACTTATGCTGCTAAGCAAGCTTCAAATGGAGAAACCATTATCTCTGTCAGTTGCTTTACTAGAGGCTATAAGCCACGTGCTGCAAAACTCAACTTTTGATTAACATTGCAATCATCATGAACAAGATCAATCCTGACGAAATTGAAGTGATCTTGTTACAGATTGACAGATGTCAGGATAAATCATTGAGATAATCTGGAACTATAGAAGATACTCTGGTCGTAATTGCATCCACGGGGTTGCACATCTATGCTCTTGAATGCGTACAGGCAAAGATGAGGGAATGACCGGTTTGAACTGATATTAGGCCTCTTCGCCACAGTACCTTATTGGCCTCCTCTTACCACAGATATTAGTGGCTCCATCGATTCAACTCTTCATGTCAGTCCTTTTTGAAATTGAGCATGGTTTCACTGCACTAAGTGGGACTTGCCTCTGGAGTGCTCATATGTATCCTAACACAGTGAATAATTAGTACAAAACAAGAGCAGCAAGTGCAGGAATGCTACCTTTATATATTTTAGAAAGCCAAAATCTTTATAAGCTGTCGATATTCTTATTCTGTATTATGCTTTCTTCTATGTACTTTCTAAACGGATGTGGCTTTGTATTGTGACAGGATGAAGAGCCAAATGATCGGAAAATTGGGAAACTGTGTGAATATGCTGCTAAAAATCCTTTGCGTATACCAAAGGTACTGTTGTGGGATAGATAATGTCCTGATTTGCACTCTTATTTATGATCAACTGTGCTGAAAATGACTGGGCCACAATGTAGGATATATTTCCATTCACCATTGTTGATTGTTGGGTTGACCTGCTTGGATCGAGTTTTTGGTCAACTAACATCTGGTTGTATTGCATCTTTGACGAGTTCATTTTGTTGTAGAAGAGCTTTGCGCTTTGAATATTGAAGTTTGTTTCATACTTCAATGGAAATTTTGTATCTTGTTATGGAACCTCTTCTTTCAATTGCTCTACCAATTGTATCCAGCAAAAAGAATTAGAAATTTTTTAATGATTTTTTCTGGAGAGTTAGATGGCCATTTTGAACAGGCCTCTGACTTGGTGTGGACCCTTTCAAAATTACAGCGTGGAAGCAGGAATATAGTTTGCAATGAAGGGTGGGGGGTAATCCTTTTTAGCCCAAAAAAGCAAAAATATTGGAGGGTAATCCGAAGCTTCTGATTTTCCAAAGTTCCTGTCCAGTGGAGCTGTAAAACTGAAAACTATGTTGACCCAAAGGGCTTTGAGATTGATGTTTATAGGTATATATGCCTCTGAAAAACTCACATAGAAATTAGACATTGCAGCTAAGGTGGCCTTTGATCAGAAAATATCAGGGCAGATGTAACCAATAAGAGTTCTTGAATTGTTTGATGAAAAATGGGTGAAACAATGACTTGTGAAAAATGCCATAATCTTCCAGCTAGAAGAACCTTTAACTCTGGATGGGGGTCCTAAATTGAACTCTTAGATGTAATTAATGTTCCGAGGTAATTTGGCTGCTTGATGATTTTTAGAATCGGGCTCTGGTTCCATCGTTGTAAAGATAATCAAAGCAAGTGGTGTCACTGTGGACAAAGTCAAGAAATTGATCTTGCTAATGTAATGTCTAAAGTCTGTAATGCCATGGTTTCCGTATGTAGGAGAGTTAAAGGGTTAGGTTGCATCTCCGTGGTTGTGAAAACTCAATGATATTCTCAGCCATCAGAAAATGGCTAATTTTTTAGGGAAAACTCAACAATTCTTGACGAATTTAATCGCTGTGGACTATGACTCGTTCAGGTGCCAAGCATGTTGACTTGTGTAGGAAAGGAAGAGCTTTAAAAAGTTGATGCTATGCTCCCTCTTTTTATCCTCTGGCAATCACAAAAACTGCCATGTAATACAGTCTGAAGTTTAGAAGATAACCGTATCACATAGGAAACTGAAGGTCGAGATACTTGTTGGGCCCACATTCTGGGGAATCGGCAGTTCATGTATACATGGGGTTTCAGCATGGCTAAGGATAGAGAGAAAGTGCAAAGGTCATCATTGATATAAAATATTCGATGTTGGTTTTCCTAGACAGCCATGCTATACCAATCTTAAGGAATAAGTACAATATTTTTTTGAAGTCAAACCGTCTCATTGGAAAACCTACACTTCCATCAAGTCAAGTTGAGTTCTTATAACCACAAACATTGTTGAATACATCTGAAATTTTTTCATGATAAAAATGGCAAATTTGTTATTACACCTATTAGATCGACGAAGTTAAAGAAATAAGGGCTGACTCACTTGATGGGGGCCAATCTTTTTGAGGTGTTGTGTCTAAGTTCAGGTCTCTCCATCCCCTTGTCTGCACCTTATATGAAAATATCCCATTGACAATTTGGAAAGAAAAAAATGAATCATTCTTCAGACCTTGCGTTGGTCATTTTAGGTTTTCGAAGTAAACTTTGTGCAGGATAATTAGTTAAAATTTCAAGGTGCCTCTCATAATTTTTTCCCTCGCCATTTATGCTTCATTTGATATTGTTCGAAATCTTTTTTCTTTGAACATGTGGACTAATTTGCAAATCTCCTACCAATTTCTTCTGCTTATTAATTTTATTTAAATTCGGCGCTGACGGGAAAAGTTCTATTTTTCTTACTGTTTATGTGTTTCTGGTAATTGGTTTATAATAGAAGGCTTACTAGTTTGTTTAGAAAATGCTAGACTTTATGCTTTGTCTTTTCATCTTGGTGATAGTTGCTAATTTTGAACAGATCACAAGCACACTTGAACAAAGATGTTACAAGGAGTTGAGAACTGAAAATTTTCGATCTGCCAAGATTGTCATGTGTATCTACAGGAAATTGCTAATTTCTTGTAAGGATCAAATGTGAGTTTGCCTTCCCTCAATACGTATTTGTTCTTTCCGTATGGTTTTCAAAGACATCACTCTGTAATGATATCTTAGTACAGGGTTCATGTACCTGTATCAATGGCAGATGATCTGACCGTCAAATTACTATTTTAGTTGTGGCCCTCCTTGCCATACTGGGAACAGTTCTCTGCAAAAAATTTTGTTCGTTTGGTTTTTGTATTTTTTTTTGAGAGTACCATTATGGAAGTAGGTGTAACTGTTGAGTTATATGGTGGGGAACGCTATCATGCTTGTGCAGCCAAGTCTCAGGGAAAACATTTACTGAAGGCATACTATATGAGCAGGATCGACTCTGGCATTTCCTGCACAAAAACAACAGATCTGTCAAGTTATCTAGTGGAAATTAGATTTTTTTTTCTTAAACAGTGGTTTTGTGGCTGGATTGGTGCTTAATAGTTGCAACTTAGAGTTTAGTTAGTAAAGTATAAGTTTCAGCAAATAAATTGTTGTGTATTTAAAGAGACCACAAGATAAGGAGCTTTTTTTTCGATTCTTTTATTCAACTGTGAAATTTAGTCATAGTATTTATGTTGGGCTGCTTGGAACCTTGTACAGCGACTGAAAACATTCACCCATAATACTCTTCAGCACTGATTTGCAAACTTGGAATAATAGCTTTCAAGTGAATCTAAAGCAATTAAAGTCTATGGATGTGCTCCATGGTGATTTGCTCTCCATTTGTTGCCTCTTATAATTAGCTCAAAGGAATGGCTTATACCATTTTGCATATTTCACGTGGCCTTTTTTCTCTATCTCCTGATCAGGATAGAGGCAGAGTCATTTGTCTTATATCCATCGACTATGTGTGTGCTGTCTAACCTTAACATTATGTTACAGGCCTCTGTTTGCAAGTAGTCTACTAAGCATAATTAGCATTTTGCTGGATCAGACAAGACAGGATGAGATGCAACTAATAGGATGTCAGAACCTTTTTGACTTTGTAAATAATCAAGTGAGTTTTAATGGTGGATATGTAAACTTTCCTTTTGATTGTGAATTTTACTCGTCGAGGTCTTCATGTGAATGTCCAAGTTTTTCATAATTAATTTGATTTTGTAGAGGGATGGCACCTACATGTTTAACTTAGAGGGCTTCATTCCGAAGCTCTGTCAGTTAGCTCAAGAACTTGGCCAAGATGAGAGAGCACAGCATTTGCGTGCGGCTGGTCTACAGGCACTTTCTTCTATGGTATGTTCTTTTGTTCCAGTTACTTGCATAACCTTAAAGTTTCATATGACCTTATATTTGTGGAGAGAAATAGCTAATGAGATAAAGATACTAATGGTATATTAACCATCTTGTATCTTCTGATCGAATGGAAAGGGGAGAGACAGAATATTGTAATTCTGTTCACCACAGAAACATGGGTACAGCTCTCTTCTCTCTCTGCCCGACCCCCTCCCTCCCCCAATCATTTCAGTTTGAGTCATCATTAGAACTTGGTTATGAAGCTATTCCTCAAGCAGGAGTTGATCCGATAGCATCATGGCATTAGCTCCCTCTCACTTAACTCATTGAAGCTCTCTTTTGAGAGAATATAAAGTGGCAAGGGACCATTTAATGTCATTTCAGTCTCCAATAATTTTAGATAAGCACTCCATTTACCTTTGAATTGGTTTTATGATTGCATGAAGAAGTTGCTCTTGCGCTGTGAAGGCAAAGGGCATCCTCATATCTTTGAATCGTCTGGTGGTGGCTTGTTTGAGACAGAGACACCTTGCATTGTGGGTCCATAGCCTCCGAAACTTCCCATCTCTCTGGCTGGTGAATCAAGGACTGCGGGAGAATGTGAAGATTTGTGACATGAGACCCTAGTCCCACATAGATTTGGAGTGAAAATGCTGTACGATCTCTAGGTAGCACCCACTCCATATAGACAAATGGAGTGCTCTTTTAAGGATTTGGCCCAACTGAGCAATTTTATGGACCATTTGGCCTTGAATCAAGTGACTTTGAAAAATGTTCTTCTAATTCATGTCTGCAAAGGAAGAATGTGGTTTGTGATTGAACTGAGAGGAACAAGGTTTGCACTTTTTAGAGCTGTAACTATTATTGTAGTCTATGAAGGAAATAGTCTATTGGGGTAATTCGAGGATAGTGTAGACTCACAAGGAGAGTGGGATATCTAGAGCATTGTTCAATTAGATTTGTAAAACATATGGATGCCTGATCTGCTTGTAAGATATAATATTTTATTTTGGACTAACAGGGGATGTTTAGCTTGTAGCGGTAGTTGCATTATATGCATTCTTAAGGTTTAAGTAATCGCCTTGCTGTTCATTGGTTTTAATGACCATTCGAGTATTGCCTTGTGATCTGCACACTAAACTGACGTATTCTTGTGCAGATCTGGTTCATGGGTGAATATTCACAATTTTCAGGCGAGTTTGACAATGTGAGTATATCGAAGTGCTTTCTCTTGACTGTTGCCTGAATAATTTAGCAGATTCTCATTGCAATTCCACGTTTTTCAGCATCTGCACGAAGTTCATGTCTTGATGATGACACTCTTATTCTGGTGAACAGAAATCTTGCTTTTGTAGAACGCTATACATACTTTGCACCTCAAAGATGCTGAACTTTAGATCACAACTGATGCTAACAAAAGCTTTGGATCACAGTTTACACATCATTGCACAACTATGCACCTTAAAACAGCAAGCCTAACTATGCACCTTAAAACTGACTCACGATATTTCTTTTTTCATTAAATGTCAATATTGACTATTCCCTCACTCTACACATTGCAACTAAAGCTTTGGATCAAACTATGCTGACCAGCATATGACGATCCTCAAAGGTTTATTTCTGTTAGAGTAATTGATCTCTATGGTTTAAATACGAAATCTTCTTAGCATCTTTGCCATATTGCAAATAACAATCGGCAGATTTAACTACAAACCTGCAAGTCTGTTGCCATTACATATTTACTTTCTCTTTTCCCTTTCACTATTAAGGTGGTCTCCGTGGTCTTGGAAAATTATGGGCATGCTAAGAAAGTCTCTGAAGACCCAAACAAGCAAGGTTCTGAGAATCGTTGGGTACAAGAAGTGCTAAAACATGAGGGTCATGTCTCCGCATCACCAGAAGTCACAATGAGGGTTCCTTCTTGGAAGAAACTTGTTAATGACAAAGGAGAAGTAAATGCGACAGTGTAATCTCTCATGAAATGGAATTGATATTACGCATTTGCTTTTGTCATAATTTGTAATTAATAACTGTCTAGAATTTTACTTCTCCTTTTTATGCCAATAGGGATGTGAAGAACCCTTGCTTTTGGTCCCGCATTTGTGTTCATAACATGGCCAAGCTAGCCAAGGAGGCGACCACAATCCGGCGTGTATTAGAATCATTGTTCCGTTATTTTGATAATGAAAATTCATGGTCTTCAGAACATGGTCTTGCTTTTCCTGTCCTGAAGGACATGCAAGTTTTGATGGAGAGTTCTGGTAATTGGATCTGTTAATTGCAGTAGAAACCCATTGCCAATCTGGAAACTTACTTGTTTGTTCATGACAGATCCTGTTTTTATTTTTCCTCACAGGTCAAAGTACACACTTTTTGCTGTCCATACTAATCAAGCATCTTGATCATCGCAATGTCCTTAAACAGCCCAGTATGCAGATTGACATTGTTGAGGTGACAACCTTCCTGGCTCAGCATGCAAAGGTTGAACCCTCAGTAGCCATTATAGGTGCCATAAGTGATGTCATGAGGCATCTGAGGAAAAGCATACACTGCTCGCTCGATGATGCTAATCTGGGAGCAGATGTAATTAAATGGAACAGAAAATTCCAAGATGTCGTGGATGAGGGTCTGGTCCAACTGTCTCTTAAGGTTCTATTCTCTAATTTTTGCGCCCTCGGTTTGGTCAATTTTTTTTGCTTGCGAGGCTTGCTTTTCGTTTCATTTTTCTTTCTCAGCAAATGCTTATTGACCTGTTTTCTGTGCTATTCGCAATACTTTTATAGCTTTTTCCTGGACAGATAATGATGAATTTTGTACATGATGTTGGGTTATAGACTACATTGACGTTGTGACAGGTTGGAGATGCAGGTCCAATACTTGACGTTATGGCTGTCATGCTGGAGAATATCTCCACCATTACAGTTATAGCCAGAACAACAATTTCTGCTGTTTATCGCACTGCCCAAATTGTTGCTTCTCTACCAAATTTGACATATCAGAATAAGGCAAGAAGTTAAGTTTAAGTATTTTCATTTTTATGTCTTTGCCGATTGCATCTTGAGAAATGATGTTTACTTCCTCCTCTTTTAGGCATTCCCAGAGGCTCTATTCCATCAATTACTGCCAGCTATGGTGCATCCAGACCATGAAACAAGAGTTGCAGCTCACCGCATCTTTTCAGTTGTTCTTGTTCCATCTTCAGTTTGCCCCTGCCCATCTTCTGTAATTTCTGAGTCCAAGAAGGGGCCAGACCTTCCTAGGACGCTTTCAAGAACTGTCTCAGTATTTTCATCTTCTGCTGCCCTCTTTGAGAAGCTGAGAAACGAGAAGCTTCTGGCGAGAGATCATGCTCCTCCGGATGATAAAGAGAACAGTGAGGGAGATACAAGAAATAACAACATTGGGATGCTGAGCAGATTGAAGTCAACTTACAGTCGAGCATACAGCATCAGAAATCCTTCTGTACCACCGAATATAAATGGAAATCCTCTGAGCAAATTAAATAAGGAACTGGTGAGTCTCAGAGATGCATCTGTCAGTTCTCCTGTTGTTTTTGTTGAAGGGTAGCTTCCCAATGCCAATTTATTGACCACATGAAATTTCTGAAGCTAAGAAACTCGAGTTTGTGCTCTTATCTAATCAGTCCTAGATTGATGCTAAATGACAAATCTTGGCCACCCCATTTTTTGTTTCACTGAGTCTTTCATCTTGCTGCTTTCTGATGCAGAAGTATTCTTATCTCTAATAAATCGGACCAATTTGTCAATATGTTGATAGATGACTATGATCTAATTTAGCATCATTTTCTCATGTATGCAATTCTAACTTTTAACTAGAGATGGAAATGGTATTTTCTCGTATATCAATTTGGTCATTTTTGCATGGTGAATAATATTTTTCTTTAGGCGTAATAATACATATTTCCTATATGCATGAGATGACAGTTTTAAGTTTTTTGGACTTCAGGAGGCTGTTCCTCTTAGGTTGAGTAGCCGCCAGATCACACTTTTACTTTCATCCATCTGGGCGCAGTCTATTTCCCCAGCAAACATGCCTGAAAATTTTGAAGCTATTGCGCACACATACAGCCTTGTATTGCTGTTTTCTAGAGCCAAGGTATGATTTAGATCCAGTTCTCAAGATTGTATAGCGCTACATGTCATGCAAATGCATTCCTTCTCATCATGTATATTCACGTTGTCACACCATTGAAAGAAACACTGCAGTTCAGTTGCATGAGGATCCACGCAACCAGCCCCACTTAATGGCAAAAAACTTTCTTTGTATTGTGGTTGTTCTCCATGATAAATGACTTGGATGTTATTTTTACCAGTTTCACAATACCAGATTGTGGTGTTACTAAGTTAGGATTGTGTAATCTTGCCTGTCAAAATTTTTTTTCTCTGTTTATCTGAATGCTACCTTTGTAAGGATTCCATGTAAAAGGATGTGTGGAAAGATATCCAGAAAAAGGGAAGTGTGGCATACTTAACATGATGAGCGCGATTTGGACCATAAATTTCTGGTCATTTACTCTAGGAACAATTCAGCTTTTCCTACTTTTTTCTTTTGGGACATTAGGGGCAGTCTTAGGACATTTGGACATGGCAAACAAATTGAATCAGGTTTTGTTCCACATCAGGCACCTTTGGCTCTGGGATGTTTGATTGGGAAAAATTTGTTCCTTTGGTCATGTTCGACACATAATAAACTTAGCCTTAACAGATCGGTGATGCGGTTGCATATTTTCATACTTTGAGTTTGTGATGAATGATTTCATGTACAATGCCAGTCAATGTAAATGCTTGTTGTAACTGGCTAGAAAAAATGTAAATGCTTGTATTTTAGTACTTTGATGGTAATATTTCGATGAATAAAATTTCTTGACTCTGTTCCTAAATATTTTGTCTTGCCTGCAGAATTCCAGCAATGAGGCGCTGGTTCGAAGTTTTCAGCTCGCCTTTTCCTTGCGTGATATTTCTCTCAAAGAAGGAGGTCATCTACTAAATTTCTATTTTATGCATTATTCATGGTTTTACCGGACAAGGATTGATGTTTCTTTTCCTTTTGTGATGACATTCAGTTTTTGCGTGCCTAGTACTGTGAATGATTGTTCTTGCAATTGCTGATGTCAATTAAAGGGACTAGTGATGCAAAGATAGGCTCTCTATATTTCAACCAAATAGTAACATGTAATGTCACTCAATATGTTATGTTAAGCCAGGTTGATTGAAAAATGACAGATGCTTTAAATGTGGGTTGGATCCTGAACCACCTGGACTACATAAGAAAGCCTTTTAACGCATAACCATCAATGAAGCTTTAGAAAAATTTTCTTTTTAGGTTCTCTTTAGCATGCAAGAGTTGTATTGTTTGATTGACTTAATTTTAAAGTTTTCCAGCAGTGTAAACTGCTGGGCAATGTTTCTTGACTTGCTGTGGCTTTGCTAGCTTTGATTTCTTGAAATGTTGTTGATTTTCCCATGCCTTACCATAATAAGATTCAAAGTAGAATTACTTGATGTCAATTTGATTTGAGAATTGTGTCCCTATGAGGCTGATCATCTCTTCATTGCGGGATGGGAAATGCCATAGCTTCAGGTTCCATAACTTATATGATTTCTATGTTTAAAGCTGATAATTTCAGTCTCAGCCAACTAATTTGACTTTGCATCAATTAATAATTCTTATTATTAATTTCCTGAATTGAAAAAACTGTAGATGTCTGTGCCTATGCTGAGATGACAACAATCATTGTAATCAGGAGGTTCTTTTGCTTACTTCAGGTCAATAAGTTGAAAAAGAACGAAAAGAATACTTTTGTCCATGTTTCGTATATAATCTGAAAGACAAGTTAAGATACCACAGTAATGGCTCACTGTAACTTTTACTAATCGCAAAGATGCTGACATAGATTATGCCATTCTAAAATGTTGGATTTGGACGGGCTCTACTTCCAGTAAAACATCTGCTATATCTCACTCTAAATCTGGCTCATACGCTTCATTCTGCAGGACCATTGCCACCATCACGTCGGAGGTCCCTTTTCACGCTGTCTGCTTCAATGATCATATTCTCTTCAATAGCTTACGGAATTGTTCCACTTGTTCATTGTGCCAAGATAGCACTTACAGAAAGAACGGTGCGAGTTTTATTTCAACCCCTCGATGATCTTTATCTTGCAAGGAATTCTCCATGCAAAATGAATACATTCCCTTCTATCACATATCACACTCTTATCGTGGAAATACAGGAGTCTTCGTTTTTTCAAAAAGAGATTCTTTACATTTTCCTCAAGTGTCCAGTCAAGTTGTCGGCAATAAGTAAACTTTATTAGGTCTAATAATCTTTTTGTGCTGGAATCAGGCTGATCCGTTTCTGAAGTTAGTTGAAGATCGCAAGTTACAGGCTGTAGGCACTGGATCTGGACATCAAACCAATGTTTATGGATCGACAGAAGATGATGCCGCTGCCGTAAAATCTCTCTCTCACGTTCAGTTCACAGAGGATCAAGCAAGCGAATACTGTGCTTCTGTAATTTTGAAGACTTTGGGCAGCTTGCCGGAAGTAACTTCTGGATATCCTTTATCACCTGAATGTTATTAGATGCATTGTATATTGAATTTGGCATATTGCTTGAGCTCCAACATCTTTTATGCAGCCTGAGCTGTCCACCGTTAGGGAGCAACTTCTCAGTGAATTTTTGCCTGATGATGTCTGTCCCCTGGGGTCCCAATCATTCACGGACTCTCCATGCAAAGTATATCAGCTTGAGTCGAGAGCGAGCGAATCTCATGATGATGTAATTCGTGTGGCCAATTTTATTTACTTTCTTTCTATATAAATGACATTAACATCAATTTCTGTTTTTCTTTTTATCCAAAAGCCTCCTTTATTACCTGTGGAAGATGATGCTTTTGCGGATTCATTTGAAAGTCAAACTAAACAGAATTATGAGGACATTGCCGGGGGCGTACCCAATCTCTTGAGCATAGATCAACTTCTAGAATCTGTATGTGATCTTTATTATTACTTAGCTACTACTATGGAATTGGCAGTTATTGATTCTGCAAAGTTTGAGTTTTGAAATAGTTTTTCCTTACATAATGTTGGTTTGGTTCTCCAATTTTTAGGTACTGGAGACTGCACATCAAGTAGGGAGACTATCTGTTTCAACTGCCCCAGATGTGCCTTACAAGGAAGTGGCACGGCACTGTGAGGCACTTCTCATAGGAAAGCAGCAGAAAATGTCCAACTTGATGAGCGTCCAGCAGAAACATGAAAGCTTGAGAAACTTAAATTTGCAAAAGAATAATGATGTGAAGATGGGATCTCATTTCCCTGCGGAGATGGGTACTCAAAATCACAGGGTAAGTGATTCATAATTTAAGTACCATAATTTGTCTGCTTGTGTTTTTCGTATCCATGCCTTTCCCTGGTGCCTTCTTTCTCTTTTGCCTTGTGTCTTCTTTCTACAAGAGAGAAGCCACAAGGCAAAGGCATCATGTATTAAGCCAAAATGGGCAGCACCGCATTATAATGTACGAGGTCCCCTACCTTTGCTCTGTAGTTCATTAAACGGTGCTACATCCACAGCCTCAGGGTACTTGATTTAGTCGATATAATTTCCGAGGTCCCCTACCTTCTCTGTAGTTTCTTTTAGAAATGCCAGCTTCTAACATATTCAACCGACAAAAAACCATTGCAGGCTGGCAATCCTTTCCTGGATAATGACCATAATGCCAATATGCAGAAACCAACAACTAGCACTGCCGCATTATTGTGTTCGACTGAATACCAGCATAACCCGACCTTCTTCAGACTACCTGCGTCAAGTCCATACGACAACTTTTTAAAAGCTGCAGGCTGCTGATCCTTCAGTAGTATGAAGACGACATGGTTTAGGATAGATGGCGCACTGGCATAAAGCTAGTGATGGTCGGACATAGAGCTCAAAGACTTCGCGGGCTTCAAAGCATTCGTCGCCTAGTTATGGTACATCCAATCTTCTCGGAATGTAGGAGAAGCTGGTCAAGGTTCAACGATTTTGTCACTCCATATCCAATTCTTTCATTCTTTAATTGTTGCCCAGATTGGGGGGACATTCTCATGATTCCTTTTCCTGAAGTGTTGGTACCACATCTGGGTTCACATACAGTCCTTTTGTTGAATGCTTTTAATGTGTAAATAGGGCTTTCAGTTCTCTCTCCTCTCTGTTGTTTTATTTTTTCTTTTTCGTATTCGGATGGAGATGTAGGCAAGTTTGGAGGCCTGGAGGCAAATGACATTCTCCTCCTAGATTTAACATCTGGAAATCCTTCTACCTTATTACTAAAGACGTTGAGTCCATCAACTCCATTTGACTGCCAAGAGCAAGCAGAGTAGCTTTCATTAGGATCGTGCTGAATGTTTGATAGTTCATTCCATTCTCGTGGTTAATACTTTGGAGCATCTTGTCAATGTAATATGGTCGATTCCAACAATATCATGAATTTCAATCCTACACCGTTTTGATTCTCCCATCAATACTCATCATAAAACATGAGAAAATATCGGCTTGTCTCCGAGAATCTCGTAATCAAAAGTTTTTCTGTCATGAAAATTTATAAATTCTCAAAAATCTCAAGCTAAACAAACCGACCACTCCTCTTTTAATCTTTATTTCCGGGCAATCGACGAGGCTTAGTTGGAGTAAGTTATCTATTCATGTTTAGTTTTCTAAAAAGAAAACAAACTTCTTAAATCTCAAATTTTTTAAGTTTAATTGTAGGAGATTGGGAGGGAGTACTTTTGTCGTTCCGTCGTTCAATTCAAAAGAAAGAAAGAGAGTTGTACCATCAACCAAGAACCTATTGTCCATATTTTCAAGCAAATCTTGTCAAAAATGAATGAATAACTTTTAAGAATACACTTAAAAATAATTTGTAATTTTAATAAAGGAAAGGAAGATTTTATGTGGGTTTAGCATAACACGTGATTAGCCATTTCATTTTAAGTCGAAGTAACTTTCAAGATACTTCTAATGTGGATACATAAATACTTGACTAGGTTTTTTTTATAATATTTTGAGGTAACTTTGACTACGCTCAATTACTTTTTCGATTGAAAAAGTGTGGTCAGTAATTTTTACATTGCCCGGTAACATCTAACATGTGATTATTAATTTTATTTTAAATATAAGTGAGACGCTTCGATATTCTTGATTAATTTTTAATGCAGAAAAGTGTCGAGGTTAACGCGGTTAGTAACGTCCCGTTTACTAATAATACAAGTGATCAGTGGACCTCACATGAAGATGGCTACGGCCACCTTTCATGGGCACGGGGACCATGGAAGAAAAAACCAAGAATCGGGTTGCCTGTCGCAGCAGCGAGACACGCGCGGCAATAAGTATACCGCGAAGGCTCGAGAAGCTATCAAGAGAAGAAACTTGAAGCAGGTTGCGTTCTGGTAAAGCCATCTTTCTTCTTCACGACATACCTCGGAGCAAAGCTTTAGGAGGTCTGGTCTTAGGTGAGTGAAAAAAATGTCATCTTGTGGTGCCCGAGCATGTTTTCTTCTCATTTTTCGTGTATTTATTGATATGGGTTTCTTCCTGGGATATCTTTTGGTTCGCTTGGAAGCTCTCTGTTTGGGTGTTGTTGGGAAAATGCAGGGAAAACTTGGGAAGGTTTTTGTTTTTGGGTTTGAGCTACTTTGTTTTTTATTGGGTGTGTGGGGGAGAGGTGGAAATCCTAGTTGGTTTCACTGAAACGCGTATGAGCACTTGCTGGGTTGGCTTACTTTGAGATTGTGGCAGGGATGGTTCAGTAAAGATGAGGAATTTTGGAAATTAGAAAGTGTTGTGCAGCTGTAGGGACTTGGATATTAGAAAAGAAGAGGCAAAATTAAGTTGAGGATAGAGATCGGTCCTCAAGGTGAGTCAGACCTGGTTGTGTTGCGATCATCTAAAAAGTGGCTCCATCATGGTCAATGATATGATAATGTGTAGCAATTGGCATGAGATTGCAGCATAGTTTCATTAGTTGTAGAATTGGTCTCAGGGTTCATTTTCTTGGGCTGTTTGAGTTGGACTGACACATCGTTGGTTCGCTTTGTCTGAGGGAGTCGTTGTTTCTGCTTGTGAATTCTGAATCTTATGAAACACTTGTGTTCGAGATCATTGAAATTGTTGCAGTGAAAGAGCTAGGCATGCTTAGCACTAGATATCGTAATCAGAATTCTCCTGTTAATGTCTCAGTTTGGTATCTGTGTTGTCTATCCCTCACCATGAAGTTTGTCGCCTCTTTTTTGTTTAATGCAATTAACAACCTTGATTCTGCCACTTGTTTGCAATGTTTTTCCTATCGCCCATATGGATTTCAGGTCACCAATTTGGGCAATGTTATAAGAGACTGAGGGCAACCGTAGTTGTAAGGATCCTTTCCATCTAAAAGAGGAAATCAGCTAAAAATGGAGAATGAACGTCCTAAACTCAACCTTCAGAGCCTTCTTTATGTATATACATACTCAGATCACTATCTCTTTTCTCGCTTATGTTTCTGTGGTTTCTTCTATTTTTTCTATCCCGTTAGATTTTTCAGTTGGAAAAATGTCGGTCAAGTACATAATAACTGCTGTGCTCGGATCATTTGCAATTGCATTTGCAGCTGACCACTTTATTGCCGACAAGAAGATATTTGGAGGCAAGTGAAAGTCACAATTGTCTTGTTTGACTGCTGTGTTTGGATGCATCTCTTGACCAGAAAGTCGTGAATGCGAATGCTATCTAATTTTCTTTTTTCCCTGTTCTTTTGAGTATTCAGGAACCACACCGTCGACCATTGCTAGCACAGAATGGTGGGAAGAGACGGACAAGAAGTTTCAGGCATGGCCTAGGACGGCAGGCCCGCCAGTCGTTATGAATCCTATCAGCCGTCAAAACTTCATCGTCAAATCTCGCTCTGAATCTTGAATCATAACTGTCTTGGATCTCTGCCTTTTGTATCTAATGCTTTGTCGACTAGTGTAGTAAATAGTAACTGGCTTTCGGTGATAGGCATGTCTTGGCTTGAATATTATGTTTGTATGAAGTCTTCCTAAAATTTGGTCTACCCGTCTAGCAACTCACTATACGGTGCGGAGGACTTGTATTGGTTCAGTTGTAGCACATGCTGTTGGTGTCAGATGCTCGATATCTTTCTGTAACAACATGGCCGTCAATGTGAATAATGCTATCACTCAGTTTTTCTGCGGAAAAGAGACTTAATCATGAGTGTGTCTTTTCGAATCCTACTGTGTACTTGCCAAAATTCCATGCTCCTGAGCATTTCCATTCAAACTCTGTCAGCCAAATTGAAATGTGCAATGAGGGTAAAGGCCACACATATGTGTTGGTACTCCTAAATCTTTCAATACGATGTGATGGCAATCCCGCAACTCTTCCTAACACCAGAAATCTTTCATGTGCATCGAGTATCATGGAGTGTTACTTCTTAACCGTCTGTCATGAAATCTTCTTATCGGTGTCCATTTCGTGCAAAAATGGGGTCGTTACCTTGCATCTAACTTCCACTATTTAGCATCAATGTTTGGGACAGAAGAATTAATATAAACCAGAGACGTCATGAAGCAATTTGAACGGATGTTTCCTTTTTTACTTCTGTTTGTTTTTTTTTTGTTGTAGTGTAGGCAATTCGACTCTTATTTAATATTGAACAGCAGCCATACAAAATATGGACATAAGAAATTATATAGCATTTCTTTGATTATCTTCGGGATATCTTTTACCGAAAGTCTTAAAACTTGTTATGAAAGTGCAATTAAGTCCTAAAATTTGCTAAATGTGCAATCAAGTTCTAAAACTTATCAAATTAGTGTAGTCGAGTCCTTTCGTTAACTCCGTACAACTTGGCAAAGGAAAAATATTGACGTGGCTTTTTTTAAATATTTTCTCTCTCCTAAGTGGCTAAAATCACGTAATTTTGGTCAAAATATGATTTTTAATACAAGTTTCATTTAAATTAAATTAAAAAAAAGCTAAAAACAAGGCGGCAAAGGCTTTGAAGTTCTTGCTGCCGCTGCCTCACCATCTCTAGGAAGGGCCAATGATGGTGGGGGAATGGTTGGTAAGGGTTGCCGAGCCCCAGCCAAGGGTTGGGGACCCTCGCCGATCGTAGGCAAGGGCCTGCAGGTCCTTGCCTAGCCCTTCCTGGCGATGGTGGGGCATCCCTCGCCGCCTGATCCAACTGTCCCCTTTTTTAAGCTTATTTTTTTAATTTAATTTAAATATAATTTGTATTAAAAATCAGATTTGGACCAAAACAATGTCGTTTTAGCCTAATATTTCGTGTTTTAGACACGTCATCACCACGTAGGGTAAAGAAAGCATTAAAAAAAGTCACCTAAGCATTTTTCGTTAGTCAAGTTGGACGAATTTAACAGAATGACTTGATTGCACAAATTTGGCAAGTTTTAGGACTTGATTACGTTTTTTTTGCAAGTTTTAAGGCTCAATTGAATTTCGTGATAAGTTTTAGTATTTCTAGTGCACATATCCAATTATTTTCTAATATTCAAAAGTCTTTTTCCAATTTTCAAAATTGTGGAGGGGAAACAGCACATATTTCTAAGCCTCTCATTCTTGTAGAAGGACGAAATTAGTGGGCATCTGCTACAGGGACAAGCAACGAAAAGGAGCTTATTCTTCTCTGTGCACATTTGAATCCTAGGAGAAACAGAGAACAAAGAAAGGAATGTGCTAAAGATTAAAGAGAGAGGCAGCATAATTCAGGCTACTTTTGCTTTATCTTTCAACAGAGGATGGCATTCTAAATGCAACAGGAACAGCATCGAATTGCTTGCGGATTCCACCAAGAATCGAGTGAACTATGCAACAGTTTGGAATAACGTTGTCCATACGACATTGCACCAAGAATATTCCTAGGACTCAGCCTATAGAACCTAGCAAAATCATGCCTCTCTAGTAACCTTCTTCTGATAACTAGTTTAGTTCCTGCATATTGGCTAGGTTAAACCTCCTCGAAAACTAATAACACCGCTCACAACCATGACTGAGGTCGTCTCTAGCATCCTTGGACCTCTTGTGGAGAAACTAACTTCATCGGCTGTCGAAGAAATTCAACTGGCATGGAGCGTCAAGGATGACCAAGAAAACCTCAAGATCATGCTAGAGATGATCGAGAAGGTGCTCGCCGATGCTGAGCAGAAGCAAACAAAAGAGGAATCTGTGAGGCTTTGGCTGTCGAAGCTTAAGAACTTCTGCTATGATGCCGAGGACGTGCTAGACGAATTCGAAGTCAAGGCCTTGCAGAGGCGGGCGAGGTCGACTGAGCATTTGACCTTCAAAAGGAAGGTACACTACTTGTTCTCGTGGCTATCCAACTTCATTTTCCAGTTTAAGATGGCACATAAAATGAAAAAACTGAGGGAGAGGCTTGATGGGATCATTGAAGAGAAAACTCGGCTCCACTTGTCAACTAATGTTTATGAAAAGACTATAATTCAGCGGAAGGAAACTCATTCTTTTTTATCCATAACAAATGTGATTGGAAGAAACGAAGACAAGAAAAGAATAATAGAGCTGTTGATGAGATCAGATGGTAGAGCTGGAAAGATAGCTGTCATTCCGATTGTTGGAATAGGGGGTATTGGAAAGACGACTGTTGCTAAATTGGTATACAATGATGATAGGGTAAACAAGCATTTTGTTCACAAAGTTTGGTTATCCATGCCAGTAAAATTTGAAGTTAATCAGATAATAAGAGCCGTCATCCAGTCTCTTAGTCAAGAAACATATCGTGATAGTTGGAGCCTTGAAATGCTGCAAAATCACCTAAGAAACCTCGTGAAGAACAAAAGGTGTTTGTTCGTAATGGACGATGTGTGGGAAATGACACGGGAGGATTGGGTGGGACTGAGAGATCTGTTAGAAGGCGTTTCTGAAGGGAGTAAAGTCATTGCGACTTCACGGAATAAATGGATCGCCTCAATCATGGGCCCTGTCTCCCCGTATAATCTGGCCAACCTTTCACAGGAGGATTCTTTGACTTTGTTCATGAAGTGCGCGTTCGATCAAGGGCAAGAGAAGAGTCACCCGGACCTTATGGTAATCGCCAAGGAAATAGTGAGCAAATGCGGGGGTAATCCTATGGCAGTGAAAACTCTGGGAAGCTTATTGTATTCAAAAGATAATCGGAGAAATTGGGAATCTGTAAGAGATAGTGAGATATGGCAATTACCAACTGATATTTTACCTTCATTGAGAATAAGCTACGATCTAATGCCGTCTTACTTGAAACAATGTTTCGCTTATTGCTCGATATTCCCGAAGAACTACGAGTTTAACAACCTTGAATTGATCCAACTGTGGATCTCGAACGGGCTTATCCAATCCAGTGGAAATAATAAGGAGCTGGAAGAGATTGGACAGCAGTACTGGGAGGAGCTGTGGTCAAGATCCTTCTTCGATGATGTCGTGGAAGACTATCTGTTCCTGACCTTCAAAATGCACGACCTCATACACGAACTTGCCATTTCGGTGGCACAAACAGAATCATCCAACGTGAACGTGCGGTCGCAGAATGTTTCCTTGACGGCTCGGCATATATCATTTTCCGATCCATCTCTTCTACAAGAAGATGAACTACCGGGCTACTTGAGCAAACTCAGCGGCGTTCGCACCATCATGTTTCCCATAAAAAAGGAGGGTTCTGCTGGGGAGTCCTTTCTGGAGATGTGCATTTCAAGATTCAAGCACTTGAGAGTGCTATATCTACATGACTCTAGCTTTGACCAACTGCCTAGTTCCATCGGCGCTCTAAAGCATTTGAGGTTTCTTCATTTATGTGGCAACCATAATATCAAGAAACTCCCCAATTCGGTCTACGAGCTCCACAATCTGCAGAGCTTAGGACTTGCCAGGTGCGAGGAACTGGAGGAATTGCCTGCAGACATCAAGAATATGATCAGCCTCCGCTTTTTGGATATAACCACGAAACAGCAGCGATTCCCGGAGAGCGGAATAGGATGCTTGACCTCTCTGCGATGTCTATTCATCGGAGACTGCAAGAATTTGGAGGCCTTGTTCAATGATATGCAATCGCTGAAGTCGCTCCGAAAGTTGTCTATTGGAGGTTGTCCAAAGTTGGCATCCTTACCACAAGGCATCATGAATCTGAAGGCATTGGAGAATCTCTGGATTTACAACTGCGAGAAATTGAAGCTGCCAGAAGGCGAAAGTGATGAACAACGCTCCATGTCGAGGCTTCAATCCTTGATGTTTGTGGGATTACCAAAGCTAGCTTCTTTCCCCCGGTGGCTCAAAGGTTCTGCAAGTTCACTGCAGAGTATAATTATTGCGGATTGTCCCAACTTGAGTGCACTGCCGGAGTGGCTGCAAAATTGTTCTTCTCTGAGAAAACTGAAGATTGAAGACTGTCCTAGATTGTCGTCTTTAACCCGCATTGCCACATTGAGAGAGCTGCGGATAGATCATTGCGAGGAATTGAGCAGTAGAATTGCAGATAGAAGCAGTGAAGATTGGAGCAAGATTGCTCACGTCCCGGAAATTTATGTAGACAGAAGGAAGATGAAATGAATTGATTTAACGGTATGGGCAAATTCCTCCCCTATGAACGAAAATTTGATGCTTTGAATCATGTTTCTTATATTGTCTTCATTTACTTGCAGTGTCGGCTGTCGCACCATGCCAATGGAAACATGTGTTGCATGGCCAGGCGGAACTTCCTTTTAGTTCCTGAAGAAAAAGTTTGGATCTTTGCTCATGGAAGATACTATCCCAATAGTGCTAAAGTCCCATGTTCAAGATCAAGAAAATTATGTGTTTGGTTGATCAGTGTCAATGTTTGTGAAACTCCTGTAACTCCACGACTCTTCTTTCTTCTCATTGTTTCTCTTATTTTCTGTTTTGTGTGGTGTGCACTGAAGATATTGTAGATGTATCTGTCCGCCTGTGCCAGCTTTGTCGTCTTCTGAAGTTCTTCTTGGTGAGATAGAGTTGGATGATGCCGACAATTCAAATGATTGCTTATGTGGTGACTTTTGGTCTGTTTCTTTGATAAACAATATCCTTGTGTCGAATTCTTCGAGAAAGTGTGGAATGCTATCTGCAAAGCAAAAGTGGTTGCTTTGCTTTTGGAATTTCATTTATGCTTCTGTTCTGCATAAAATGCTATCTAATGTCCCATCGTTAGTTATGCTAAGTGTTGTACTTTTTCTCGAATTGTTGTAATTCATCATTCAAGAATGCCAACCTGAGCCATGTGCTTGATAAATTTTCGTCTTCACTGAAGGCAATTCCAAGCAAAAGTAAATGATTTATCGTTCTGTGTTTTGTCATCAAGTTCTTTTAGACAAACGCGGAAATCACTATTTGACAACAGCATCACACGACCGCTTGATTCAAGTCAATGCTTGTACGAAACTGGTACATGTTAAGGTACTTAATCATCCATATTCTCGTTAAGCTAAGCTTGCATTAATTGTAAGCATGTGCACAACACTTCCCCCTAACGATGGTCCATCTGAATCTGATCTCCCATTATCAAACTCAGCGAAGTTTCTCGTGACCTGACAACTTTTCGTTTCAGGAAATTTAAAATGAATTTAGTCAGCAGAAATCACGGCAAATTCATGAAAAGTCACGTGGGGTCCCACACAACACCACTCATAATTTGGCCAACTTTTCGCAGGAGGGTTCTTTTGACTTTGTTCATGAAGTGCGTGATTGATCAGGGGCAAGAGAGGAATCACCCGAGCCTTGTGGCAGTGAAAATTTTGGGAAGCTTGTTTTATTCAAAAGACAACCAGAAAAACTCGGAATATGTAAGAGATAATAAGATATGGCAATTACCAACTGATAGTTTACCTTCACTGAGAAAGAGCAACGATATAATGTTATCTTACTTGAAATAATGTTTCGCTTATTGCTCGTTATTAAACTACGAGTTTCAACAACATTGAACTGATCCACTATGGATCTCGAACGGGCTTATCCAACCCAGCGGAAATAATCAGGAGCTGGAAGAGAATGGATACCAGTACTGGGAGGAGCTATGGTCCAGATCCTTCTTCGATGACGTCAAGGAGTATTATTAGTTCCCGACCTTCAAAATGCACGACCTCATACCCGAACTTGCCATTTCGGTGGCACAAACCGAATCATTCAATGTGAACATGTGCGCACATGATGTGTCCTTGACAACTCGGCATTTATCATTTTCCGATCCATCTCTTCTACCAGAAGATGAGCTACCTGGCCACTCGAGCAATTTCAGCGGCGTTTGCACCATCGTGTTTCTGATGAAAAAGGAGGGTCCCGCTGGGAAGTATTTTCTGGAGATGTGCATTTCCAGATTCAAGCACTTGCGAGTGCTATATCTACACGACTCTAGCTTTGACCTGCTGCCCAGTTCCATCGGCAGTCTAAAGCATTTGAGGTTTCTTCATTTATGCGGCAACCATAATATCAAGAAACTCCCTGATTCGGTCTGCGAGCTTCACAATCTGCTGAGCTTAGGACTTGCCGGGTGCGAGGAACTTCAGGAATTGCCTGCAAACATCAAGAATATGATCAGCCACCGCTTTTTAGATATAACCGCGAAACAGCAGCGTTTCCCGGAGAGTGGAATAGGATGCTTGACCTCTCTGCGGTGTCTATTCATTGGAGAATTGCAAGAATTTGGAGGCCTTGTTCAATGATATGCAATCGCTCACGTCACTCCGTGAATTGTTCACTGGAGGTTGTCCGAAGTTGGCCTTCTTACCACAAGGCATCAAGAATCTGAAGGCATTGGAAAATATCTGGATTTGCAACTGCGAGAACTTGAAGCTGCCTGGAGGTGAAAGTGATGAACCGCGCTCCATGTCGAGGGTTCGGTCCTTGATTTTCGTGGGATTACCGAGTATAGTTTCTTTCCCCCGGTGGCCCAAAGGTTCTACAAATACGCTGCAGAGGATAGATATTGCGGATTGTCCGAACTTGAGTGTATTGCCCAAGAGGCTGCTAAATTATTCTTCTCTGAGAAAACTGAAGATTGAAAACTGTCCTAGATTGTCCTCTTTAGTTGCCAGATTGATGGGAAGGATTTTAGTTTTTGGAAAATGTAGATTGAAGATTATTTGCACCACAAGAATTTGCACTTGCCCCTGTCTAAGGAGAAACCATTGTACATGAAGCAAGCTGATTGGATTTTTTGGTATACAGGCATTTAGTGTTATTCAAGTGACAATGCCTCAAAATGTGGCGTTCAAGTTCACTGTAGAACTACCCTATCGAATATACATGAAACCCTTTGCGATCAACAAGGTTTAGTTGATCTATTATCTATTTCACTTAAAGATAGTCTTAGGAGCGTGGTTCCTAAACATATCAATGAATAATACGGTCATTAGTCAATTAAGTTCGGTTGAGATTGACTTTGTTGATTACGTACATGCTTTGATTCTATTATCCTCGTTGCTTATAAAATACTATTGTTACTGCTATAATAATTCCTCAAGGTCAAAAAACTTGATGTTGATGAGGTTTGAGATTTGATTTTGAGTGAAGGCATCCATAAGAGAAAATCTACTTGCCTGCTTCGGTAGGTGAAGATCGAGGAAGTACTGATATGCGTATATAGTAGGAGTAGTGCAAACTTAAACAAACTTAGTTAGTCTAAAACTGGTATTGTTGTCTATTGAAATTGTGGTAAGAAAAGGAAGTTTAGAAGGGAATGCCTTAAACTTAAGAATGATAAGGAAAATTAAGGGTGTGTTTGTTTCGCGGAAAACTCAACGATAAAGAAAAATGAGAAAGCATTTTCCAGAAACGCAGTTAGTTTTCCTGCGTTTGGTGATATGTGATCGAAAACATTTTCTAGTGTTTGCATATCATTTAGAAAATGATTTCAATTTCGTAATTTTATACACACACAAAATTCAAGTATTTTAATATTTTTTTTAAAAATCGATTTTTTAATTATTTTTTGAAAAAAGTCGAAATTTAATTATTTATTATTATTTTTTCTCTTTTCTTTTTTATTTTCTTTCCTTTTCTTTTTCCTCCTATCTCTGCCGTGACCGGGCAGCGACGGCCACAAGCGAGCTTGAGTTCACCGAGATTGGCCGAGCTTGAGCTTGCTGAGACCGGCCGAGCCTTGAGCTCGCCAGCCTCGATCGACCTCAAGCTGGCCGGGATCCAGCGAGCCTTGAGCTCACCAGATCCCGGCTAGCCTCAACCTCATGCCAGTGAGGCTCGCCGGGATTTGGCGAGCCTCAAGCTCGTGCAAGGCTAGCGAGACCTCGCCGCGAAGTCGAGGCTCGTCGGCGCGAGGTCGAGCTCACACGGGGCCGGCGACCGGTGGAGGGAGGAAGAAGGAAAAAGGAAAAGAAAAGAAAAAAATAAAAAAAGAAAGAAAAAAAAAGAAGAAGAAAAGAAAAGACAAGAAAAAATAAAATATTAACAAAATCAAGATAAATAATATTGGAAAGTATTTTCACCTTCTTAAATTAGAGAATTCATTTTCCTAATTTTATACATGAAAGTTTTCCTTGACCGGAAAGTGTTTTTGCCTGATTAATCATTTTCCGCGAACCAAATGGGTGAAAGTCCCGAAAATGGATTCCGAGAAAACACTTTCCCTCAAACAAACACACCCTAAAGCTTAGTCTACCGATATTGCCGCAATATCTTATAGTATATTGGATAGTGATGATTATGTCCCGTATGTCACTGAGTATTCATCGTTTAACGGATGAATTATGGATTTTGCTTGTTCGTTTCACGCTACACTAAAAAAGAACTGGCTTACTACTTATTGGTGTGCAAATAGTAATAAAGTGCAGTTAGAGAACAATGTTGAATACGATGTTGTGGGTGTTGGTGATTTTTAAGATCATAATGGACGATGGTATCGTGAAGACATTAACTAAAGTGAGACATGTTCCAAAATTGAAGAACCCCATTTCCTTTAGTGCTTGGATTTAGCTGGTCATCAGCATATTAAGGTAGAGTTTTGAATGCCGTTAGGTGTGCTTGGTGATAATGAGAGAAATCAAGCAGAGTGACCTATATGAACTTCAAGGGAAGAAGTGACAGATTTCAATTTGGACGTCGAATGCATGTGTTTGAAAGTCTAAATTGCTGTATATGCATTTGAAGCACATTCGCGACAGAGTCAAAGTTTTAAGCGAAACCAACCTGTTGTGTGGTCAACTTGGGGATAGGCTTAAAATTGCACGAAGTCATCGGAAAAGTTGCCAATGAGCACCGAAGACCATTGACATTTTTGGACGTACCTCTGGACCAGAAAGTCGCAAACACGAATGCTGTTTAATTTTCTTGTTTCCCAGTTATATTTGGTTGTTCAGGAGCCACACACTTACAACCATTGCCAGCAAGGAGTGATGGGAAGAACCAGATAAAGAAGTTTCCGGCGTGACCTCAGACAGTAGGCTCGCCGGACGTCATGAATCCCGGCAGTCTCAAAACTTCATTGTCAAATCCCGACCCAAATCTTGAATCTCAATTGCCATGAGTCTCTGGCTTTTGTATCTACTGCCTCGTCAACTCATGTGTAGTGTGGCAAGTAGCGACCGGCTTCCTATGAAAGCCATGTCCCGGCTTAAATATTAGGTTTATATGAAATAATCCTCAGGCGGGTCCTGTCCTATTGTCTAACAACTCTCTATAAGCCGTGAAGTAGCATCAGTTCAATTTTAACGCATGCTGATGGTGTCCGATGCTCAATATCTTCCCGCAACAATTTGGTTTGTGAATAATACCATCACTGAGTTCGGTTGTGGATAAGAGATTTAGTCGGGAATGTGTCTTCGCCAATCCTACTCAGGACTTGTAATAACGACAACGCTCCGAAGCATTTCGATTGCAGACCTCGTCCCACGAATTGAAATGTGCGATGAGGGTAAAGGCGAAACATGATGTGATGGCAATCCCGCAACTCTTTTTAACACCAGAAATCCTTCAGGTGCATCGAGTATTATGGAGTGTTGCTTTTAAACTGTCTGTCATGTAATCTTGCTATCGTTGTCCATTTCATGCAAAAATGGGGTTGTTACCTTGCAAGAAGCAATTTGAATGGATGTTTTCTTTTTTACTTCATGCTTTTTAACTTATTCTATTTAGCATCGATGTTTGGGACAGGAGACATAATTCTAATCAGGGACATCATGAAGCAATTTGAATGGATGTTTTCTTTTTTACTTCATTTTTTTGTTGTAGTAGAGGAAATTCGACTCTTATTAAATATTGAATAGCAGCGATACAAATATCGACACCTAGAATCATTCAAAATTTCTTCGATTATTTTCTAATATTCAGAAAGTCTTTTTCCAATTTTCGAAATTGTGGAGGGGAAACAACACATACTTCTAAGCCAATCACTCTCATTCTTGTAGAAGGACGAATTAGTGGGATCTAATAAAGGGATCAAGCAATGAAAATGAGCTTATTTTTCTCTGTGCACATTTTTATCGTATGAAAAACAGAGAACAAAGAAAGGAATGTAGTAAAGATTAAAGAGAAAGGCAGCAGAATTGAGGTTACTTTTGTTTTATCTTTCATCAGAGGACGGCATTCCAAATGTAACTGGAAAAGCATCGAATTACTTGCAGATTTCCACCAAGAATCGAGTGAACTATGCAACAGTTTGGAATAACGTTGTCCATACTACATTGCCCTATGTATATTTCTGTGACTCAGCCTATAGAACCAAGCAAAATCATGCCTCTCTGGTAACCTTCTTCTGATAACTAGTTTAGTTCCTGCATAGTGGCTAGGTTAAACCTCCTTGAAAACTCATAGCACCGCTGACGACCATGACCGGGGTCGTCTCTAGCATCCTCGGACCTCTTGCGGGGAAACTAACTTCATTGGCTATCGAAGAAATTCAACTGGTATGGGGCGTCAAGGATGACCGAGAAAAGCTCAAGAACATGCTAGAGATGATCGAGAAAGTGCTCACTGATGCTGAACAGAAGCAAACAAAAGAGGAAGCTGTGAGGCTTTGGCTGTTGAAGCTTAAGAACTTCTGCTACGATGCCGAGGACGTGCTAGACAAATTCGAAGCCAAGGCCTTGCGGAGGCAGGCGAGGCTGACCGAGCATTTGACCCTCAAAAGGAAGGTATGCTACTTCTCGTGGCTATCCAACTTAATTTTCCAATTTAAGATGGCACATAAAATGAAAGAACTAAGGGAGAGACTTGATGGGATCAATAACGAGAAAACTCAGCTCAACTTGTCGAGTAATGTTAACGACAAGAGTATAGTTCAGCGGAAGGAAACTCATTCTTTTGTGCCCGTTTCGAATGTGATTGGAAGAAACAAAGACAAGCAGAGGATAATAGAGCTATTAATGAAATCAGATGATGGAGTTGGTAAGATAGCTGTCGTTCCAATTGTTGGAATAGGAGGTATTGGAAAGACGACCCTTGCGAAATGGGTATACATGGATGACAGGGTAAACAGGCACTTCGATCACAAAGTTTGGTTATCCATGCCAATAGATTTCGAAGTTAAGAAAATAATGACAGATGTCATTGAGTCGCTTAGTCCTGAAGCAAAATGTGATGGTTGGAGGCTTGAGAAGCTGCAAAATCACCTAAGAAGCATCGTGGAGAACAAAAGGTGTTTGTTCGTAATGGACGATGTGTGGGAAGTTAGTCGGGAGAATTGGGTAGAACTGAGAAATTTGTTAGATGGTGTTTCCGGAGGGAGTAAAGTCATTGTGACTTCGCGGAATAAATCAATCGCGTCAACCATGGGCACTGTCCCCCCATATTATTTGGGCAACCTTTCGCAGGAGGATTCTTTGACTTTGTTCACGAAGTGCGCCTTCGATCAAGGGCAAGAGAAGAATCACCCAGACCTTATGGTAATCGGCAAGGAAATCGTGAGCAAGTGCGCAGGGAATCCTATGGCAGTGAAGACATTGGGAAGCTTGTTGTATTCAAAAACCAACCAAAGCAACTGGGAATCTATAAGAGATAGTGAGATATGGCAATTACAAACTGATATTTTACCTTCATTGAGAATAAGCTATGATTTAATGCCTTCTTACTTGAAACAATGTTTCGCTTATTGCTCCATATTCCCGAAGAATTACGAGTTCAACAACCTTGAACTGATCCAACTGTGGATTGCGAATGGGCTTATTCAATCCAGCGGAAGTAATCAGGAGCTGGAAGAGATTGGACAGCAGTATTGGGAGGAGCTGTGGTCGAGGTCCTTCTTCGATGATGTCGTGGAAGACTACCTGTTCCTGACCTTCAAAATGCATGACCTCATACACGAACTTGCCATTTCGGTGGCACAAACAGAGTCATCCAACGTGAACGTGCGGTCGCAGGATGTTTCCTCGACGACTCGGCATATATCATTTTCCGATCCATCTCTTCTGCAAAAAGATGAACTACCTGGCTACTTGAGCAAACTCAGCGGCATTCGCACCATCATGTTTCCAATAAAAAAGGAGGGTTCCGCTGGGGAGTCCTTTCTGGAGATGTGCATTTCAAAATTCAAGCACTTGAGAGTGCTATATCTGCATGATTCTAGCTTTGACCAACTGCCTAGTTCAATCGGCGCTCTAGAGCATTTGAGGTTTCTTCATTTATGCGGCAACCGTAATATCAAGAAACTCCCCAATTCGGTCTGCAAGCTCCTCAATCTGCAGAGCTTGGGACTTGCTGGGTGTGACGAACTGGAGGAATTGCCTGCAGACATCAAGAATATGATCAGCCTCCGCTTTTTGGATATAACCACAAAACAGCAGCGATTCCCGGAGAGCGGAATAGGATGCTTGACCTCTCTGCGGTGTCTATTCATCGGAGACTGCAAGAATTTGGAGGCCTTGTTCAATGATATACAATCACTCACGTCGCTCCGTAAGTTGTTCATTGGAGGTTGCCCAAAGTTGGCATCCTTACCACGAGGCATCAAGAATCTGAAGGCAGTGGAGAATCTCTGGATTTGCAACTGCGAGAACTTGAAGCTGCCAGAAGGCGAAAGTGATGAACCAGGCTCCATGTCGAGGCTTCGAAGCTTGATGTTTGTGGGATTACCGAAGATAGTTTCTTTTCCCGGGTGGCTCAAAGGTTCTGCAAGAACACTGCAGAGGATAGATGTTATGCATTGTCCCAACTTGAGTATATTGCCGGACTGGCTGCAAAATTGTTCTTCTCTGAAAAAACTGAAGATTGAAGACTGTCCTGGATTATCCTCTTTACCAGATGGCATTCGCCACATCCCGGAGATTTACATTGACGGAGGGAAGATGAAATCAATTGATTAATCGGTATAAGCAAACTCCCCCTCTTTTTAAAACACGTTTATGAGTTAAAAGTCGATGTTTTGAAATCATGTTTCTTATATTTTCTTCATTTACTTGCAGCAACTGTCGCACCACGCCGATGGAACCATGTGTTGCATTGTCAGGCAGAAATTACTTTGAGTTCCTGAAGAAAAAGTTTCAATATTTGCTCATAGAAGATACTACTTTCCCAGTAGTGCTGAGGTCCCATGCTCAAGATCAAGAAATAATGTTTGGTTGATCAATGTCAATGTCTGTGAAACTCCTTTAACTCCGCGACTCTCCTTTCTTCTTATTGTTTCTCTTCTTTTCTGTTTTGTGTGGTGTGTTCTGAAGATATCGTATAGGTATCTGTATGCGGGTGTCAGCTTTATTGTCTTCAAAAGTTCTTGGTGAGATAAAGTTGGATGATGCATAAAATTCGGATGATTGCTTATCTGGCGACTTTCGGTCTGTTTCTTTCATAAACAATGTCCTTGTAAGTCGAATTCTTTGAGAAAGCATGGAGCGCTATCTGCAAAGCAAAAGCGGTCCCTTTGCTTTTGCAATTTCATTTATGCTTCTGTTATGCATAAAAGCTCTCCAATGTCCCATCGTTAGCTATGCTAAGTGGTGTGCTTTTTCTCGAACTGTGTGATTCATCATCATTCAAGAATGCCAACCTGAACCGTGTGCTTGATAAAATTTCATCTTAACTAGAGGCAATTCCAAGCAAAAGTAAATGATTTCTCGTTCTGTGTTTTGTCAACAAGTTCTTTTAGACAAACGCAGAAATCACGAGTTGACAACAGCATCACATGCCCGCTTGATACAAGTCAAAGCTTGTACGAAACTGGTACATGTTCAGTACTCAATCATCCAAATTCTCGGTAAAGCTAAGCTTGCATGAATTGTAAGCATGTGCACAGCACTTGCCACTAACGATGGTCCACTGAATCTGATCTCCCCTTGTAAAACTCAGCGAAGTTTCTTGTGACCTGACAACTTTTCCTTTCAGGAATTTTAAAATGAATTTAGTCAGCAGAAATCACGGCAAATTCATGAAAAGTCACGTGGGGTCCCACACACCACCATTCATTCATTCAAAGACCCATTTGCGCGTTTGGAAAGCTGTGATCAATTCAGGTCCCCTTGGAAAATTCACAAGCAGACCGACACAATTCACGCCTCATTTGGTGCTCCCGTTCACCCACATGGGATTCTGTTTCTTTTTGTCTGAAAGTCACATCGCCTTTTCCTTTTTTCTTGAACACTTGATCTTCTTGGATTGAGTATAAAATAACATTTCTATGAGGTTGTATCGTGTCTATAAGAATACGGTTGTTTCTAACTACTATCTCTTGCATAAGCACAAACAATGAGTCCACTTCTCTCTCTTTCCCTTGCATTCTCTCTCTCTCTCTTCAATATTCTCTGTGTCTCCACAGCTGTTACTCTCCCCCTGGATGGTGAGCCCTTCTCTTTCTTTTTCTTTTCTTGCCCTTTTTCTAAAGCATATTAGTCATTTCATCAATGAGCAAGAACGACCGTTCATAAACAAAAGGACCCTTTTTCTTGCTAACATAGTATAGTGAGCACCGAGCAGATTGGTGATATTTTGGTCTCCAAGCTTAGTATTTGAAAAAAGTGCGAGTTTTGATTCACTTGTTGACAAAGACCTTTTCTTCTGCTTGTTATTCATTATACATTTCAGGACTTCTTCCAAATGGGGACTTTGAGGAAGCCCCCAAGCCGAGCAACCTCAAGAAGACAGTGATCCTTGGGAAGCACTCGCTGCCCAAGTGGGAGATCGATGGCCTGGTTGAGTTTGTCTCGGGCGGGCCGCAACCTGGTGGCTTCTTCCTGGAAGTCCCACGCGGTATCCACGCAGTGCGGCTGGGCAACGAGGCATCCGTCTCGCAGTATCTGAGTGTCAAGCCAGGGTCAGTCTATGCCCTCACATTTGGTGCCACAAGGACTTGTGCACAGGATGAAGTGTTGAGGGTCTCAGCAGCCCCTGGCCAGTCTGCAGAGTTGGGGATACAGACCCTGTACAGCAGCAATGGTGGGGACACCTATGCTTGGGCCTTCAAGGCTGCTTCCAAATCTGTGAAGCTGACCTTCCACAATCCTGGGATCCAGGAGGACCCCACCTGTGGGCCTCTCTTGGATGCTGTGGCCATCAAGGAGATGCTCCCACCCAAGTACACTCCTGGTAAGCTTTCTGTTCTTTTGAGCTCTTTATAAGCATAATAAAGATACAGAGAAAGGATTTAGGCCGACCTTGACCCCAGGCCGGAGGACCCTAGATGGCTGATACTCCTTTGATATAGAAGGAGGAGCAGCTTCCTTCCCTACGGGATTGCAGTCGGTGCTTGACCAGCTTACCATATTCTAGACTAATACTGTCATTTGGCTTGCGTGGGAGTTCTAGTTTGACTAGATCTCACATCAGTCATTGTGTTTGGAAACATGGTCTTGTATTTTGCATTTACGACTTGTGTACTGTATATTGTGCTACGAAGTAGCCAATCTGACCATTGGATGTGCCTTGAGGTCCTGAATGTTGCCATGATGACCCCGCTCAAATGGGCGAATTTGGTCAGGCCTAGCTCGTGCACGAGCCTGACTTTTTGAACCATTGCCCACTACTGAAAAAACTAACATTTTCAGGTTGAGTTGGGCCAGACTTGGACCAAGTCGACTCCAAGCATGTTAGTTTTCATGATTGAGGAGTGAGGACATTTCATGGTATGATCATGCACAGGGTTTTGCCCTTCCGGGTGACCTTATGGTAGAAGAGCATCTAGTTCGAGCTTCAGGATGATTAGTTTTGTGAACCAGGAGAATCACTCACCTAAATTTTTTTCTTTTTTCCCCCTCTTGTCCCTCCATTCAGGAAATCTCATAAAAAACGGAGGCTTCGAGATTGGCCCGCACGTGTTCAAGAACTTCTCGACAGGGGTCCTCCTCCCCGCCAAGCAACAGGACTTGATCTCGCCGTTGCCCAGGTGGATCATCGAATCCTTGAAGCCAGTCAAGTACATCGACAGGAAACACTTCTTCGTGCCCTCTGGGCTAGCCGCAGTCGAGCTGGTTGCAGGGAGAGAGAGCGCGATCGCACAGATAATCCGGACGGTCCCCGACAAGTTCTACAACCTCACTTTCACCGTCGGGGATGCCAAGAACGGATGCCACGGGTCGATGATGGTTGAGGCCTTTGCGGCCAAGGACACTCTCAAAGTCCCATACGTGTCCGCTGCAAAGGGCGGGTCGAAGACGGCGAGCCTCAAGTTCCGGGCGATATCAGCCAGCACGAGGATCACATTTTTCAGTGCTTACTATCACACAAAGCTGCATGATTATGGGCACATGTGTGGCCCTGTTTTGGATGACGTTAAGGTTGTTCCTGTCAATTAGGTTGTTTCTGAGAGAGGTATAGGGCGCGGCAAGAGCAATTGCGCGCTCATATGCTAAATTGGTATTTAGAGGAACGTGGCACATGTTTCCATGTTACGTTTCAAGCGAGATACAGTCCATACACAAACAAAACAAGATGCACCTTCGGCTATTTGAATAAACTCTTCTACTTCCAACTTTCAAGATTAGCGAGGGATCGACAACACAATGACTAAAGTCTACATAAAGCATCATGACAGAGAGACCAAAGAAACATCAGTAAATTTGTCATACTGATTCCGCATAAGAAAACAGTTGTCTCGATTTATTGATTTTAAAGGTGGTGATTTTTTTTTTTGGACTATGAAGATATGACTCGAATATGATGCGAAACTTGTTGAGGCTTATCCTATACCAAATGAACATTGATCAAAACGAAAAAGCTTGACTAAGCAAACGTGTAATTGCTTGAACCTTCGGTCGCCCAAAGGGTTGGGTTGGCGTTGGGCCTATACAACTTGAAATTGCCCATGAATCGTGTTGATCAAATTAATGATCTAACCTATGTTGCCTCCATAAACCTAAGATAGTTCTTATCCTAGCTAAATGAACAAGCATAATACTATAATGAGGTAGTACGACTTATTTTTTAAAAAAATTACATGGAAATTAATTTCGGGATTTTGTTGAGTCTTTTTGTCACAATTATTTGGTTTTTGTAGACAATCATATTAACCACATCAATTATACGAATGAAAGCCACAAAAACTAAATTATATCTCGAAGAAGCTATTCCCATATATAAATTAGTGATCTAGCTATATGAATCTGTAGAGAAGGTCAAGTTTTTGAACAAGCCATTTTCATAATGACACTAGCATGATATAAACACGACCCATAGAGACATACCGACGCCCCTCGTTATTTCCTAAGAGCACCTAGGTATCGATCACTATTTCGCATGTGCACTAGTTATCTGCACATTTTCAACAGATCTAGAATATGGTTAACACTCTACTAGTGTACCAAGTACCCTGCAACCAGAAAGTGTCCCCTAACAAGATCCACAGATTTCGTACCAGTAAAAGAGAAACAATTTAGGCGATCAAAAAGTCACATCTCAAGTACCGTCTAAAAGAGAAACAATTTAGGCGATCAAAAAGCCGCATCTCGAGTACCATCAATGACGCATCAAGGAAACTAACATTGCGCACGCAATGTAATTCTTCGATTGAGCTCCTACAACACCTTAATTTCCATAAAGCCATTCGATATTGTAGCCATTCAGTTCAATGCCCCGCTCATTCCAAACAAGGCTCCATACCATTGTGCAACTATCCGAGTTATAAACAAGCACCATGGTATTCATTTGATTTCTTCTTTCTTTTCTTAAAGTAATAAATATCTTCTCCTTCACACTTTGCAATGAAGCAAACCACACTAAAGATGTTAGGTACACTTATAAACACCATGATGCAAAAGGAGAATGCTATCTAATATCTACTTCCCCCAAGTTGCAGCTGAGAGACCGAAATTCCTCTTTGCATTTCTAAGCACCTTCATTTCCCAGATTCCCATTCTGCCTTGCAGTTCCACACATACCTGCAACAATTATAGATAAACAAGTTTATGGAAAAACATTTCCATTTCTAGATTGGGAAAACAAGAATCATAAAACTGGAATCTATCTCGATACAAAAATCGGTACCACCTGTCAGATGGTCCACAGCATCAGAGTACTGCTCCTCCAAAGTTTTAAGACTTGGAGCCCTACAAAATGCCAAGTATCATAATATAGCTACCTCACTTCTTCGTAATCACGCATCATAACCATAATTCGAAAAGACTGTCCGTATTCAATAACCATGCAAGCATATGGTACCCTGTGGTTATTAACCTGAGGTGCTCCTTCTGGAGGCAATGATGAGCTACCATCCTGAGTGCGACGTGAATGTTGCACAAAGCGGATCATTTCCTGATACGTGGCTTCAAACTCATCCATTCGACGCCTAAGAGCAGCATTTTCCTGTCGAGTTGCTTGAAGTTCATCTTCAATCTGATCTAGCCTGCGTTCAATGGCATCCAATCGACCCTCGAGGTCTACTCCATAAGAAGAAGAGCATCTAGATACTCTTAAATGTTTTGGATTCACACCACCACCATAAGTGATCACACGAGCACGCCGCTTGAGGACCATGCTGTTAATGGTTCTCACAAAAATCAAGAACACGTGTCACTTTTAGTTCATATGTTCAAGAAAAAATTGTTGGAATGTACACTCACATAGTGCAGGTGAAAGCTATCAAATACTAGATGACACAAGAATAATCTCCCCCATGTAATATTTTCCATGCCAAGTTTACTTCAGTTGAAGGATTGGCAAAGGATTTGAACTTACAATCAATCAAGCATCTATATGTATATCAAATCCTAATCAAGAATTTGGTTGCAAAGCCACCATTAAGCCAGAAAATCAACATGCTAATGATCTTTGCTTTTGAGCTCCGTGCTCATGATCTTTAAAGCCTCTGAAATTGTCATATTACTACCAAGAGCGCTCATGTGACATGACCCTTTGATGATACCCAAATAAGGAGACTTTCTAGATCTCTTTTAATTTGGATTCGAACTAAAAGCAAACCACATACCGATTTCCTAGACTAAACATCGGACTTAAATCACTAACTAAAGCATTACCACTCGCAAAATCTGCTAATCTCCCCATCTTCATCCCGTGTCGTTAATTAATACCGTTCCAAACATGAAACACAACAAATTTCCTCATTCCTGACGAAAGCAAAACCAAGAGATTCATAACTTATTTTGCAAAACACAATACTGAGAAACTCCCTTTCTCTAATGAGATCCACCAGAAAAAGAAAGCAAGCCCAAAGATAACGGACATTAATTCTGTCTGCTCTACTAACTCCAGGGAACATAAATCTTTTTATCAGTGAAATCGCCGTCGCACTTGGTGCCAGAATAATATACATCTCCAATTCGCAGTTCTCCAAATAAATAAAAGTCCATAAGCAAATCCTTTTTATCTGTGTGCTATCGGTACCAACTTCAACCTAGATAGTTGACCCTTTCAAAAGAGTATGTTCCTTTGCTTTCAAGAGCAAACAGATTACTACCACTGCAAAGCTGCCAGTGGACCTATACTACCACAAAATGGATGGTTGACATGTTTAGTGTTGAATGTCAAAAAGATGAGAGAAGACATTAGTAAATCTCTAGAAGAGATAGAACATTTTCTGTTGGATGTCGACAATCTAGACAGCAGCATGACAATGAGTGCATGGCCTTCCGTAAGTAACATACAGATGCAACTTTTTATTTCATCAACTTAACATATCAACCATATGCACAAATGTATATTTAAAACCTGCTACCACCTTTCAGGATACCATGTCAAACACAACTGCTGGTTTTGGTAAATAATGGAAGATTCCCCTTGCTATTTTTTTAAAGTAAAACCTTATTCTAGACGGCAAGAAAAACCAGGAGAAACATTTCATTAACAGACTACTCGACATCAAGGAAGCACTTGAACCAAAAATGAAGAAGAATGCATCTTCCATTTAATCACCACAACAGAACTCTCTCTCCCCTAAATCCTTTTGTTGAAAGTAGAGCATCATTAATTACATATATCAAACTCTGTCTTTAGTAATCTTGGTGCGTAATGAGCCTCACCTAAGTATCTGTAGGCTTAAAAAACAATACATGAACTTGCAGAGGTATCTCCCGATCGACCACACATATTTTCTACAGGACCTCCAGACCATAAGTATCTCATTCTCTTGAATGTGTACTCTGCACTCGCTATATAGAGATACAATTTAAAAGTGGTTTTTGTCCATTAACTTCTACAGATGTAGTTCCAGCTCTCCAGAGTGTTAGATACACAGCTTAATGTGTTTCCAGTACTTCAGATTAAAAGGCTATTCAAAGACAATCAAAGGCATGCAAGCACTTCAGCTATAGAGTCAAAAGAATCCAGACTACTCCTTGCATTTCCATAGGGCACATTCCTTGACGAGAAAGACGGCTTAATTCAGCCTTAGGCCACAATTCTAACCGCGGACATATAGGTGAGCCACACCATTTCCCGAAGGCAACATGAGTGTCGCGCTTTACGCGCGTGGCAAGTAGCAACCGACAGATAATACCATCACAACAGCCAAGGGATAAAAAACAAAGGGCATTGCATGCAGCTAAAATAGGGACCAGCAGAAACACTGCAGGACACAAACAGATCCCTCTGGGCCAAACTTCCAAACCCGAGCCGCACCAACAAATTTCACGAAATCGACCGAAACAGCCCGACGACATTCGCCACGTTCCGCGAAACCTAGGAGCCCGAAATGTAGCTAAAAGAAGAAGAATCACTCATCACGGCAAAGAACTACACCGAAGCATCGGCCACCGGCTCGACTCGAACACTGAAACGGAGAAAAACGAGAAACGCATTGCGACGACGGAAGAGGGGGGAACCGGAAGCATCCGCAATCGCGAAAAACAAGCGGCGCCTCCGACGCGACCGCAACCGAAAAACCCAGCGGCGGAAAAGGCCCGAGAGGAAAAAGCAAGCGCCGCCGCGTCCGCCGTGGCGCGGGGGGTTTTTTTTTTACCTGGGAAACGCGGTGCCGAGCGCTCTCGAGATCAGGCGCCGATCACATGAAGGCGGGGGGGCGACGGCGGAGGGGGGAGGAGGAGGAGGGAGGAGGGAGAGAGAGATCGCGAGGCCAGAGCGAGGGACGGAGGAGGAGAGAATTTTTCCGGAATTTCTAGCGAGAGGAAGTGGTGGTTTTAGGGCACACCGGGGAAAAACGAGCAGAGGCTTGGGCTTGACGACAGAAGTGAAGTTTTAAGATTATATAATTAAATTTGGCCCGTAAAGGCATAAACAAAAAGCTTGTTTTTTCTTTCTTTTTTTCCGTAGTGGTTGTGGATTTATTTGGGGGTAAATTATTTTGGAAAAAAGCTCATTTGTTTTATTGATCCTGAAAAAATATATCTGGCACGGACATGGTGCTAAAAATGAGAAAAAGATTATAAAAGGAAAAAAAAATACGAGATTTGGACTGATTTGACATTTTGTCCATTATTTGATTATGCACAAATAACTTAATGTGGTAAGTAAGAATGACTTGCTTAATCGAGTGAGTGACACAACATCTTGCAGTAATTTTCGTCGAGACATTCCAATAATGGTGGCTATTTTATGTCTAGAAAAGTAACAATAGAATTTATTTTCATATGTCAACAGACAACTTTTTATTTTCATTTCTAGTATTTAGGGGCGCGAATAATAACTATTTTATTTATGTTCAGAACTAGTTTTCTGTTCTAGGAAACAAGTTTGGAATAAAAACCCGTTTAGTAACGCAATTTCATTTTTCTATTTCTGGAATAACTTTTTTGTTCTAGAACTGGTTCTGGACAAAAAATCCGAACAAAAAAAAGAGTAGGTTTTCTGTTTTCTGAACGAGAAATGAAAACCATTTCTAGAAGAACTTGTCTTCTCTCTTCAAAATACATTTTTTTCTAAATTTGGCCCCAGTCTGACCAAGTCAGACCGATTCAAATCGGTTAGGTCCAATTCATTCCCGGCGGGAAAATAAAAAAAATTCTAAAAACAATTAGAAAAATCATAAAAAAAATCAAAAGATTCATAAAATTCATAAAAAAAATTTAGAAAATCCATAAAATTTCTAAAAATCTCAAAAAAAAATTCAGAAAATCCATAACAATTGAAAAATTCCAGAAAAATTCATAAAAATTTCCAGAAAATAAAATAAAGTCAGATTTCGGGAAAAAAGGAAATTTGGTGAATTTTTTGAAAAAAAATTCAAAAAATCAAAACTTTCAAAACTTCACAAAATGGCTTATAATACCTGTGGCTACCCACTTTGAGTGAAATTTAAAATTTTTGAGATGCCCGAATGGTATTTTTGAAGACTCCTTAGGGTCTGCATAGCAACGTTTCTGTTCCTAGAAATAATTTTTGATCAGAAATAGTTTTTTCTATTTCTATTTCTTAGAACAATTTCTGAGCAAAAAATAGCGTTTAGTAACTGCACAAATTTTCTATTCCTGTAATAGAAAAAGAATAGAAACGCGTTTAGGGCGCGAATGATCCATTTCTATTCCATGGACGAGTTTCTCCCTTCTGGGCTATTGGCGGAGGACGGGGGTGGCGGTGGGGGGCGGAGGACGGTGGTCGGTGGCGGCAGAGGATGGCGGCTGGTGGCGGGAGGCAGTGGAGCACAGCGGTCAGCGGCGGAGCATGTTGGCATCGGGCGACGGTGACGGCAGCGGGGGGCGGCGGCGGGAGGTGGTTGGCGGTGGAGGGTGGCTAGCGTCGGTCGATGGAGCACGGCGGCTGGTGGCAAAGGATGGCGGTCGATGGTGGGTGACCACCGGCGTTGGGTGGCCAAGGGCGGGAGGTGGCCGGCGGCCGAGGGCAGCCAGCGCTAGGTGGTGGCTGGCGTCGAGCGGTGGAGCATGATGGCGGGCGGCGGAGGATGGCCGTCGGTGGTGGGTGGCCGTCGGCGGCGGAGGACGACGACCGGTGGTGGGTGATCGCCGACGTCGGGTGGTTGGCGGGAGGAGGTGGCCAGCGCCGGGTGGCGGCCGGCGTCAGTCGATGGAGCACAGCGGCCAGCGGTGGAGGATGGCGGCCGGTGGCGACAAGCGTTGAGCGGCGGAGGACAGTGGTCGACGACAAGAGGCGACCGGCGGCCGGCAGCGGAAGGCGGGCAGTAGGTGGCGGCGAAGGACGGCGGTGGGCGGGTTGCGGCCGATGGATTGTTTCTTGTTTTTGGAGGATTCCAGAAAAAATCATTTCTTGTTTTTGTTCCAGAATCAAAGAAGTAGATTTGTTTTGCTTCTTGTTTCTGTTCCAAATCTATTCCAAGATCACTTTTTTGTTCCAGAAACAAAAAAGTAGATTTTTTTTACTAAACGGATTTCTGTTCTTTTTCTGTTCCGGGAACAAAAGAACATAAAAACAAAGAAACAGAAACGTTACTAAACAAACCCTTAGTTTAGGGATTTAAAAGGGGTTTTAACCCCTAATAAACCCTAAAATTGGTTTAACCCCCAAAAGGGGTTCTAAAAAAATGGATTTATGTTTCGGGAAATAGAAATTTGTGTTGTTATCAAGCGGGTTTCTGTTCTAGGAAATAGAAATTTTATGCTGTTATCAAATGGATTTTTGCTCCAAAAATAGAAATTTTTTGTTGTTATCAAACGGGTTTCTTTTATCAGAAACTTGTCTTAGGAACAAAAATAGAAAAATCTATTTCTGTTTCAAGAATTGTTTCTAGAACAGAATGGTTATCGTTCGCGTCCTAAAAGATTCAAACAATTTGGGATTTAAATTTTCAGCACTAAAGAGTGCGTTTTTTAAAGTTTCCATTTTTTTAACCCACCGAGTCTCTCTTATCAAATGTATGATTTTCAGCCCAATAAATTTCGCAAGAAAGAAAAGTGGGCCAGTACAAGTAATTTTTTCATACACAAAGTAAATTTCCAATGTTTCATGTGTGAACTATGATCGAAAACTCAAGAAAGCAATAAATCTTGTATAGTTGGTTTTCTTTTAAGGTGCGTGAAATTTTGAAATCCTACTCACTTCTCTAATTTTGATCAGATGGGATCATTCACCTTGAGAGTGGATTAAACTGAATTCTTAGAACTTTGGGCATTGTGGTCGGGACTCAACTTCATAAAATAATTTAGTTTTCAAAAAATTATAATCGGAATTAACTCTAAAGACATAACCGATCTTGTTAATATCGATAAAGATATAAGAAGACTGTAAAGCACAATATCACTTTCATAAATGAAATCGTCGTGGTGACTGATTTACCAATCTTGAAATTGATAAGCGCTTGGACACTAAGGGCCCGTTTGGCAACGTGCCAAACAGTGAAAATTTCTATTCTTTTGTTCCCAGAAATAGTTTGGGAACAGAAATGCGTTTGGTAAACTTTTTGTTCCCGGGCACATTTTTGCAAAAAATTGTGCTTAGAAAAGTTTTGGAAGAGAAACAAGAAGTAAAAAAGTTGCTTCTTGTTTCTGCACAATTTTGAGAATCGGTTTTTTTCTTTTTCTTTTTTTCTTTTCTTATTTTTGTGTTGTTCTTCCTCAGGGGGCCGGCGGCCGTCCATGGCGCACGGCAGGGCCGCGTCCGAGGCGCGCCCTGCCGCTGTGGCGTGCCTTGCGGTCGTGCGACCGGCCATGGCCAAAGAAGAAAATGGGTAGAAAGAAAAAAAAAATTAAACAATTCAAAATATTATTAAAATATTATTTGGGAACAGAAATTTTGTGTAGTTACCAAACGCATTTCTGATCTTTTCTACTATAGGAATAGAAATTTTGGACAGTTTATCAAACGCCTTCAAATACTCAGAAATTATTTTCGAGCACAAAATAAAAAAAATTATTTCTGTTCAAAAATAGTTCTCGAGCACATAATGGTATTCATGCCCACCTTAAATTCTTGTCCTCGTCTCGTACAAAGTTACATAGGAACATAATAGATTTATTTATATGAAAAAAAGAAGAAGAAAAGTACACCTTCCTGCTCCTCGTCGCTAATGCTGACCAGCGACGACTCGTGCAAGCGAAGCGATGATACATACACGCAGCGCATTGACTCGACTCGGAGCATTCCATTTCCATCGTTCCTCACTCGCCAGAACACGCACCTGCGCACGACTGTCTTCTCTCTCTCGCGCATTTGATCAAACACCTGAACCGCGCGAATCGAATCGCCGGTCGTAGCTCCACGGCTCCGCCGGAGCTTTCTCCTCTTCCCTCGAATTCGCTCGAAATCTCTCTCTCTCTCTCAAAAACCGAAGGAGGTCTCCGGTTCGCGCCACCGGCAGGGAGGGAGAGGAATTCAATTCCGTCAATAGCGGCTCCCTTTGGTGAGATTGCGAGGGCGGCGGAAATGGCGGTGGGGAGGGAGGAGGTGGAGATAGTGAAGCCGAGGTCGGACAAGAGGGAGTACCGGAGGATCGTCCTCAGGAACGCTCTAGAGGTCCTCCTCGTCAGCGATCCCGAGACCGATAAGGTCCCTCTCCAATCCAGCCGCGCTCCTTCTTTTTTCGATTTATTCGTTTGTGTACTGGTTAATCTGTTGCCTATTTGTCTGTCGGCTTGTCCTGAAAGGAAGCGACGCTTTTACGACGGTCTGACTTAATGGATGTGGCTTTTTGTTGTCCTTGGATGCTGCAGTGTGCTGCTTCCATGGATGTCAGCGTCGGCTCCTTCTCCGATCCCGAAGGCCTCGAAGGCCTTGCGCATTTTCTCGGTAATCGGTTGTGTTTTTTTTATAATTGAAAGCATGTGTAGAAACTACAATCTCTGTGAGGAGCAGTGCCCATGCGATTATCGATTGCATCTTCGTCGATTTGTGCATGTGCAGTGAGAAGAATAAAACTAGAATCTTAAGTTCAGTAAGTTTTGGGTAGAAAATGTTGATACTTTTCACATCATCCAGACCACAATTCGTATGTTGAAGGTGAAGAGAATCATTTATTCTCTGGGAAATTCACTGTTTAACGGATATATTAGCGACAAATCTGGTAGAAAAAAGGCGTAAAACAAAAGTAGGTAATTTTCCTAAGTGTAGTTTTAACATCAAGTTCAGATTGGTGCTTTATTGCAAAACCATGTTTCAACATCTCACACCTTGCATTCTTAAAACACTAGTTCGTTGGGTATGAAATCGTGTTCACCTGAAAGCGATATCTTCAGCGACAAATTTTGATCA